TCCTCCTCCTCCTCCTCCTCCTCCTCCTCCCCTCGCTCACCGAATCCACTCGCCTTCATCTCATCCAACAGCGCGTTCAATGAATTCGTATCCAGGAACAACCCACACGCGCTTCCCAAGAACCATCCCCAGTACGACGCCCGCTGCGCCTTTTCTTGCAGCGCCGCGTCGCGCGTCGACCCCACGATCCCCGCGCTCGTCGCCCACACCACGTGATCGAACGCAAAGTACGCAAACATCCCCAACGCTTTGCCATAAAACGCCCCCTCCTCAATCGCGCTCATCCGCGCCCGCGCGCGCGTCTTCGATCCAAACTTCCGTTCCACCGCCGGCGCGAGCGCGTCGAGCTCCTTGAGCGCTCTGAATGGCTTTCGCGCCATCGCGAGCGATTTCGACGCGTTCAGCGCCCGTCCCGCCTCACCGTTGGAGACGAACAACGCGCAGTACTGCGCCATGCTCGCGCACTTATCCCGGGCGTCGTACGTCGTCAGAAAGGTGCGAATTCGCGCGGCGAGGACCAACGCGCGGTCGATCGCATCGTCGTTGACATTCGTCCCGCGCGTCCGCCCAGAGCCGCGCGCGCGCGCGGTTTTCGACGGCGTCGACGCGGCGACGTCGGCGTACGTCATGCGCGCGCGCGAGGACGCGGGCGCGCGTCGGGGTGTCGCGCGAGCGCCGCGGGTGGATGTCGTGAACGGTCGTTTTCTTTGTTCGACGCACTCGGACACACGGTGTATACTGTAGATACTTTATATCCATGTAGTGATGTAGACAAGGAAGCGCGGCGCACGCGCGTCATCGCCGACGCCGCGACGCCGCGCGACGCCTCGGCGCGGCGTCACGGCGACGCGCGCGGTCGCGGAAAACGCACGGCGTCGACCGCGCGCGCGATCGACGCGAACGAGCGCTCGCGCGCGGCGTGCGCGGCGCGCGCGCGCGACGTGCACCGTCGCGGTGTCCGGGACATAAATATCATAATCGGACACGCGGTACGTAGAGAACGAAAGGAACGTACTGTGTATGGAGCGATACACGGTGACGCGCGACGTCACCAACCGTCGCGCGACGACGCGACCCCCCTCGCGGGACGTCGCGACGCGTTCGAATGTCCCAGCGCGCGCGCGCGGCGCGAACGCTCGCGCGCGCGCTCGTGGAGACGACGAAAAATCTCCGCGTCGATCCCCGCGCGCGCGCGCGGTGGTGTCACGACACCGCGAGCCTGCGAACGCCCGAGAGCTCGCGACGGGTCGTCCGCGATGAGGATCGATTTTGGTTCGACACCAACGGGTTCTTGATACTGCGAAACGTGTTCGACGACCGGGAGATCGAGGTGGGTGATTTTTTGTTCGTCCGTGGGGCGACGCGCGGGGGGGGGCGGTGCGCGCGCGCGGTGGATTGGATGCATCTTCATCATGGCTCGAGCGATGAATCGATGACCGGTGGGGTGGTGACATTGGACTGACGCGAGACGACGCGCGGATGAGGACGTAGGCGATGAATCGATCGATCGACGCGCGCGTGCGCGATCCGGCGACGGAACGAAAGGGAAACTTACGGCTCACCAAGACCGGGGGGCCGCTGAGCGGAGATGGGACGACGGGACGACGCGACGTCGCGGGCTTTCTGGGATGGCCGAAGGGCGAGCGCGAGCCGTTTCGGAAGGTTTTAGCGCACGAAAAGTTGATCCCGTACGTGCACGAGTTCGTCGGGATCGGCTATAGGCTCGATCATAACCCTCTGTGCATCGCGCAGGATCCGGGGGCGGAGGGGTTCGAGTTTCACGGGGGGAGCACGCTGGACGACGGACGATGGAATTGGCCGCTGGCGTATCAGTACGCGCAAGGGCAGATTCGGAACAATTTGCTCGCCGTCGCGGTTCCCTTGACGGACGTTAAAGAGGGTGAGGGAGGGTTCGTCATCGTGCGCGGTTCGCACAAGAGCAACTTTGCCGCGCCGGCGTCGGTGAAGCGTTACGAGAACGGCGTCGAGCACGGGTACGCGCCGGCGCTCAACGCGGGCGACGCCGTGTTGTTCTCCGAGGCTACCACGCACGGGACGTTGGCTTGGAAGGGAGCGAAACAGAGACGAACGCTCATTTACCGCTTCGCCCCCGCGACGGCGGCGTACGGACGGGGGTACAAGGATTCTTGGCCGAGCGAGTGGCTCGAAGGGACGAACGACGCTCAACGCGCCGTGCTCGAACCGCCGTACCACCCGCGACTCGATCGCCACGCCGTCGCGGATGACGGCGTGAATGTCATCAAACCCGCTCCTCGGGAAGAGTTCAAGGTGAACTTCGACGAGAAGGTGTTCAAGTCAAAGTACTTTTAGACGACGCGATCGCGAGCTGCTTGTATTCTTACACAAATTCTTTATTTTACTATCGATTCATCACCGGCGATGCGTTCGCGAGCGAATCGGTGGTATCGACGTTGATCTCGACGGCACGACTATCTTTGGCGTAGTCCCAGCCCAGGACGTCCGCGTCGTCCTCAACGCCGAGCCACGCCTCTTCGTGCGCCAAGATTTCCCTCGCGCTCGGTCTCGCGCTCGGATCGTACGCCAAACACCTAGCGACGAGCTCGGCGAACGGGCGCGGTTGCGTCGCGCTGACGACGTCGATGACGTAACGCTCGAGCATATTCTTGGACGACGATGCGCTCGGCGGGTCGACGCCGAAGACGTCACGGTAACGCTTCTCGTGCGAACGCGACAGTTTCATGTCGGCGAACCGCAACATGGAATTCACGATGACGGCGTCCGAAGCGGCGCCTTCGCCGCCATCGGGGAACAATCGAGACGCCTGCCGCAGAAGAGCCGTCGCGACGCGTTTCACCTTTGTTTTGCTCTCGCGCTTGGGTTCGATCTCACCCGTTTCGTCGTCCACGTAGCCAAAGAGCTCGCGTCCGGCGCACAGGAAGAAACACGTCGCGCCGAACGCGAAGACGTCCACCTTGGTCCACTGTTCGTCGTCGACGCCGTTCATGTCACTCAATAACAGTTCTGGGGATTGGTATCCCGGCGTGCCGTACAACGATGCGTGATACGCATCCTGAATGATCGGTTGTCGCGCGACGCCGAAATCGATGAGCGTCGCCCGAAACGTGTTAGCGCCCGCGCCCGGCGACAGTAACACGTTCCCGGGCTTGATGTCGCGATGGACGACGCCGTTGGCGTGACAGTGCGCCATCGCGTGCACCAGTGCGCGAGCGAGCTCTCGGCTTTGTCGAGGCGTTAACTCGCCGCGTTCGCGCATGTCGTGCGCGTTTCGCCCGGCGGCGCTGAGCAAGAGGTAACTCTCGTTCCGAGCGCGTTCGAGTAGACCGGCGAAGATTCTCACGATGTGCGGATGCTTCGGCATCGATGACAACGTCATCGCCTCCACGGCACCGATTCGATAGCCATCGCCGACTTTTCCGCCGCCGACGACGCCCGGGAACGGATTGGAACACTTCAACACGGCGTCCTCGTCGCCGAAGAACGCCGTCTCGGCGTCGCTCGCGTGATGCGTCATGAAGACGTCCGAAAAAGCGCCATCGCCCGCCATGGCGTCCATGTACCGCTCACGCCGTAAATGTCGAGCCGCAAGCGTGTACAGCTTGGCGTCGACGCCGGTGAGCGACGCCGTCTCGAACACTCTCGATTTCGCGTCGAGCGACGAAACGCGTCGCGCGAACTCCTCCTCAATCTCTCTTCGCTCGCTCACCGATGTCCCGTGATTCCGCGACGATACTAAAGCGAAATATTTAACGCGCTGTTCCTTCCTCTGTACTTTTCTCGTCTCCACGTCTCGCGCCTCGGTCGCTCCCTCCGTCGTCTCCGAAGTCGTCGTCGTCGTCGCGCAATACGGCTCGTCGTAATCTCTCGGGTAATACGACCCCCAACCGCGCTTGGGAACGGCTCGATCGTCATCATCCGAGGTATCGACGTACACGCACCGATCCGACGCCACGATTCGCTCTCGCATCTCTCGATCGCGCTCGACGCGCCTTCGCTCGGCTTCGTCTCGTTCCGCGACGCGTCGCGCCGTCTCCTTCGCTCGTCGCTCGAGCGCGTCCGCGCGCGCAATCTCACGCGCGCGCTCGACCCGTTCAACCTCTCGAGCGATGCGCGCGCGCTCGCGCGCTTGATTCTCCGTCTCGCGTCTCGCGCGTTCGATCCGCGCGCGAACCGCGCGCGCCTCGCGCGCCGCCGCCAATCGTCGCGCCCGTCGCGCGCGCGCCGCCCCGACGCCGCACGAAAGGATACCGCACACGACCAAACACAGCGCGCTCGGCGAGATCGTCGCCTTCCTCGACGCCGTGGATGTTTCGTCCCGCGTCGTCGTCCGCGTCGTCCGCGTCGTCCGCGCGTCCGGCGCGAAATCTCCCGCCCGCCCCCCCCGCGCGCGCGTCGTCGTCCCGCACCGACCGCGCGCGCGCGCGTCCGTCGCGGCCGTCCGCGCACCGCTCGACGCGCGCGGTCGACCGACCGTCGGCCCGCGCGCGCCGTGTGGAGACATTTGAATTCGAATTAAATGCAATCCATGACCCATGCGAGCGCCCTGACGCGACGCCCGCGCTCGGTGACGCGACGCCCGCGCGGGTGAGATCAATCGACGCCCCCGGCCCGCGCGCGCGACGTCGACGCGGCGTCGAGGCGCGGCGTGGGCGTCGTCGAGCTGTAACGACTGGACGTCCTGAAACACCCGCGTGTGGATCGTGTACACGCGTCGGCATGCCCCACATACCGCGTACCGCCGTACACTACGTGTCACACGTCCGAAGGATGCACGATATATCGACATCGACGCGGGCGTCGCGCGCGATGTGGACCACGCACGCGTCGATGGTTTTACAACACCTATAATACGTCCCGCGTGTCCGAGAAAATACACCCGGCGTGTCGACGCATCCACGCCGCGCGCGCCGCGCCATCGATCGTCGCCTCGCCTCGCGCTCGACACCGCCCGCGCGCGCGTCGGTGACATCGCGCGCGACGCCCGCGCGCGTCCGCGGCGCGCGCATCATCCGCGCGGTCGACCGCGCGCGGCATTCGCGCCCATCGCGCGAAAGGGTGTTAAAAAAAGCGTTTGGTGTTGGCAGCGGGATCGGGCGCGTCGCGCGACGGCGACGAGCGACGACGGCGACGGCGACGCACGCGAACGATGGGAAACGGTCCCGAGGTCGAGCGGGCGCCCGCGCGCGGGCGACGGGAGGGACAGACGTCGACGTCGTACGGGGCGCGGGCGCTCGGGCGCGGGGCGCGGGAGACGCGCGAGGACGCGGACGACGTCGAGAGGTACGACGCGCCGCGTCGACGACAAGGGGGGGGGCGGGATGAGTTTTTGACGAGCGCGATGTTGTGCGTGGGCGCGGTGAGCGTGTGCATCGTGAGCGTGATGATCGCGGGGGGATTGGCTTTCGTGGGGTTGAGCGAGAGCCGGAGCGATCGGGCGGCGATGGATTACATCTCGCGGTCGCCCGATGCGTGGAGTGGGATGTCGAGTTATCGAGGCGGGGAGTTACAATCGAGCGGTGGTTTGTCGACGGGCGGGCGAGCGTCGAGTCCGCGCGAGCGGTTTGATTATTTCGCCCAACCCGATCGCGTGAACCAGGATTCCCTCGTGGAGGAGCTCGATCGACGATACGGCGAGCGATTACAGGCGATGATGCGGGAGCTTCGAGAGCAAGGAAACGCGGGTTCGCAGGCAAAGATGGATCCGACGTCGATGACTCTGGCGTCGACGCAGACCAGAGGGGAGGATCCGAGTTATTTGCCGCCGGCGCCGATGACAGAGGCGGAGAGAGACGCCAACGCCGCGGCGGAGCGTCTGCGACGTTTACCGCACGAGCGTTTACCGAGCGCCGAGGACGACGACGATGATGAGAGTGATATTAATCCCAAGGAAAAGTCCAAGGATGATCCGTTCGATGAGTTGGACGCCGAGGACGGCGCGGACGGCGCGGGAAAATGGAGAATGAGAGCTTCGTCGTCGCGTCGCGAGCGGACGTCCAAAAGTGGTCGCTCCTCGGAGGAAGGCGAGCGAAAGCGACATACCTTTGGCGTTTTGGCCGTGGAGGAGCGCGAGTACGCGGAGACGAAGAAGCCGCAAGCCGCGGTGAACAAGGCGCGCGAGCGCTTTGAGCAATTTGAAAACACTCCCGAGTGGCACGGCAAAATCAGACGTGATTGCGACTCTTACGTCGAGCGTTTGCGCGAGATTGAGAATTTGGTGAAAAACGCAGAGGGTTCCAAGGCGACTCGCGCGTCGAAGCAAATCAATCTCGGCGTCGAAGCGGTTCGTCAGTGGCACGCGACGATTTCGCGTGATTTGAAGAACAAACTCGCCGTTATGGAGGTTGCGCTAGAGAAGATCGCCGACGCCAAATCGGAAGATAAGGAGTTACGCGTGCACGCGCTTTCGGAAGACATAGAGGACGAACTGGACGCGCTGACGACGACGATGGATCGCGTGGACAAGCTGAAGACGGCGTTGAGCGACGTCGTCCACGCGCTCACATCCGCGGCGGCTGACGCCTCTGCAACCAACAAAACGGAGACTGGATCGACGAAGCGCGCCGCCAAGTCCAAGTCGTTCGATGACGAAGAAAACGACGATGGCGAAGAGGAAGCCGACGCCGCGGATGTGGGTGCTTCGAATAGGAAGAATTCTTGGGATCAGGTCGCAGAGACCTGGGTCGGCGGAGCGTCCAAGCCGAGCGGCGTGGACACATCCGTGGCCAAGTTTGCCTCTAAAGACAGCGCGAGCGCGTCGCCATCGTCGTCGTCGATCGTCGATTCCAAAAAGGATGACAAAAATACCGCGGTATCACTCGCCAAGCAAGCCGAGGGCGGGGACGCTCCGTGGGTGCACGCGCGCTGGGGAGCTCGAGCGAGTTTGGGATCCGCGGGTGACGACACCGAGTACGACGACGTCGCGAGCGAACGTGGCTCGGGGGCGACGCTGGGTGACGTCTTGTCGCAAATCGTTCGCTCGGTCGCCGACGGGGAGGATTCGAATCCAAAATCGTCGCGGACTTCAACGTTCGCCGCGCTCGGAAGCGCCTGGGGCTCAAACGACTGGGTCGGCACAGATGCCGCGGACGCGACGTGGGATCCGATTCGCGGCGAAAACGACGGCGTGTACGTCGACGACGCAGCAAAACGTTTGGACTGGACGATTCCACCCGGTGGATCGTCCACGTCTAAGTTGGCCCAGAGCGAGCTCGATCGAACGCCCACACCCGACGACGAGGATTTTGACGAAAAGAGCAAGCAACGCGCTGTGGAGAAATTCGCCCAAGCCGAGCATAAATCCGCCGAGGCGTGGCGCATGGAGGCTATGAAGGCGCAACAAAAGCTCGAGGATTTAGCAGCGAGTACTTTGGAGAACGACGGCGAGATGAAGAAATCTGCCGAAGCCGTCGAGCGCTTGAAAGGGTTGGTGAGCGAATTCAAAAAGGCGCTCGTCAAGGAATCCAAGGCGAGAGCCAAGGCAGAGAAATTACTCGAAGAGGAATCCACACGATCGGCCGAGGAGCGCGAGGACCTCGAAAAGCGCGTGGTGGAACAGGCTAAATTACAAATCCTAGCGGCGAGAGCCGAGGCACGTGACGCCTCGCTCGCGAGGATCAAAGCAGAGGCGGAGGCGGAGAAGGCGCTGAAGGAAAAATCCGAACTCGCCAAAGCTGCGGCAAAGGTTCAGGTGAGCGCCGATAAGGCTCTGAAAACGCTCATGGCAGATAGAGACGCCGAGAAAGAGCACTCAAAGCAATCGAGCGAGAGCGAGTACGACGACGACGCGAAGGCTGAAATAGGGGAAGACGCCGATGTTCGCGACGTGTTGAACGCCGCGGCGGAAGCCGCGGAGGCAGCGGCAAAACAGGTGCTCAAGGACAAGGGTGCGAACTCGTCGTCGTCGTCCGGTGAGAAGCCAACGACGTGGGACTCCGCGCTCGAGGATATCAAGACCGAGGCCGCGGCCAAGGGTGCGTCAGCGAGTGTCGGCTCCGATCGAGACGGCTCAACGCCGACGCCTTCGACGAAATCAAAGAGCGTTTCGCCGAAGAAAGAAGCGGATGATTCCGACTCCGTGGACTCACTCATCGACGGTGCGCCCACGTTCGAGACCACGATCGCGGTGTCGTCCTATGACGTCCCGAAAAAAGATGTCAAGCTCTTCCGCGGAGCGACTCTGAGCCTGTTAGCGGCCCGAGCGCCCGGCGCGTGCGCGGAGAAGACGATGGATGTGAAAAAGTCAACCGCCGACGATGGAAGCGTGCGATTGAGCATCAAGTGCGTGAACGCCAAAAACGTCGAGGCGGTGAGCAAGGCGACAGAGGCTCTGAAGTGGGCGACGGAGAGCGGGCGCATGGGTGCCAATTTGGTGAAGATTGGCTTTAAAAGCGCCGCCGCGGAGGATTTCTCAGTCGTATGATCGTCGACGCGCGCGTCGCGCGCGCCGTAGGATTCGAATATAGTGCACTCAAATTACAACAATCGAACGCGCTCGACGTCGCGACGGCTCGAACGCGTCACGCGGGGAAACGCTCGCGATGACCCAACGCGACGATCCGCGTTCCAAACCTCAAGATTCATCCGCGCCACCGACGCCCCCCCCCGCGAACGATCGACGCGCGGGCGCGACACCATCGAGCACTTTTCTCCGCGTCCGACGCGCGCGCGGGCGATCGCGCGCGTCGATCGCGGCGTCGATCGATCGTCGGTCGACGCGTCGTCGACGGCGTTCGAAGTTTCGTCGACCGACGAAGCGTCGGGGTCGGTCGACACCGTTTGTACACAGCGTACACACATCTTCGAATACGAACGTACTGCCGTTGTATACAGACGCATAGAGCGATATGTCGTTGACACGCACATCCAACACGGACGAGTCATGAGTCAAGCAGAGTCTCGACAACACACCCGCGTGTCACCGGTGCCGTGTGCGCTGGCCGAGCGACGATGCGCTGGCATGTCATGTACGTATAATCACATAATTACATCGATCAAAGAGTAAAAAAGTGTCGAATCGACTCGCGCGTCGACACCGACGCGTCCGCGTGAATCGACACTCCTCGACGCCCTCGGGTGACGTACCTCGCGCGCGATGTCGCTCACCGAATCTGGTGCGTGCGATATTTCCCTCGACCTCGCGCGACGCGCGCGGCGCGGACGCGCCACGGACGCGGTCGCGGCGACGCGGCGCGGTCGTCGCGTCCAAACGACGGACGGTCGACACATTTTGTGACATCCCCCCGTCGACGACGACGCGGTGATGCGTCGCGCGTGCTGAGGACGTGGGACCATTGCGTGATTTATCCTCGAACGCGCGCGCGCGTCGCGGCGTCGCGGGCCGCGGTCGCGGCGTCGCGGGCGGGGGGCGCGAGCGGGGGGGGTGGCGCGAGGGCGTCGACGCCCGCCGCCCGCCGCGCGTCCATCGTATTTTCACTTTGTGTCGCTCGATGGACTCTGGGGGTGTTAAATATGCAATGGGGGCGTCCGCGACGCCTCTCGACGAGTGAATACCGAGACTGACGGCTTTGAAACCTATTCGTTTCGCCCTCATCGCAGGCGCTGAGATCCAATCGCTTTACAACAACCTCGATGCGAACTTTTTGCTCTCGAGCGCCTACCTGGTGTTCTTCATGCAAGCGGGTTTCGCGATGCTGTGCGCCGGCTCGGTGCGAAGCAAGAACACGAAGAACATTTTGATCAAGAACGTTCTCGACGCGTGCGTCGGTGCGCTCGCTTGGTTTTACTTCGGTTACGGTTTCGCGCTCGGTGAGGCGTCGAATGGTAAATTGAACTCATTCATCGGTAGCGGCAACTTCGCGATGAAGGGCGTGAGCGGCAACACGGGTATTGCCATGTACTTGTTCCAGTGGTCCTTCTCCGCGGCGGCAACGACCATCGTGTCCGGCTCCGTCGCCGAGCGCACCAAGTTCGAGGCTTACCTCGGCTACTCCTTCTTCCTCTGCGCATTCGTCTACCCGGTCGTCGTGCACTGGGGCTGGTCTGGGCAAGGCTGGCTCGGCCCGTGGCGATGCGAAGGCTCCTCCAACGGCTGCGGCCCGCTCCTCGCCGGTAGCGGCATGCTCGACTTCGCTGGCTCTGGTATCGTCCACATGACTGGTGGTGTTGCTGGCTTGGTCGGCGCCATCATCGTCGGGCCGCGCACGGGCCGCTTCGCTCCGGACGGTCGCGTCAACCCAATGCCGGGTCACTCCGCGCCGCTCGTTGTTCTCGGCACCTTCATCCTCTGGCTCGGCTGGTACGGCTTCAACCCGGGCTCGCAGCTCGCGATTGTTGCGTTCGGTGGTGCCGCCGCGGACAACTCTCGCGTGATCGCGCGCACCGCCGTCACCACCACGCTCTCCGCCGCCGGCGGTGGCATCATGGCGATGGTCTTGAACTACGTTCTCTACCATGTCTGGGATTTGATTGCCGTGTGCAACGGTATCCTCGCCGGTCTCGTCGGTATCACCGCCGGTTGCTCCACGACCGAACCGTGGGCCGCCCCGATCTGCGGCGCCCTTTCCGCTCTCGTCATCCACGCTTCGAGCAAGCTCTTGCTCAAGCTCAAGATCGATGACCCGCTCGAAGCGGCTCCGATGCACGGCTTCTGCGGCGCCTTCGGCGTCCTCTGGGTCGGCTTCATGGCCAAGCAATCCTACGTCGCCGAAGTCTTCGGCACCGCCCGTAATGGCTACATGCCGGCTGGCGTCTTCTACGGCGGCAACGGTAAGCTCCTCGGCGCGCAAATCGCCGGCATCTGCGTCATCACAGCCTGGGTCGGCGCCACGCTCGGTGCCTTCTTCTTGCTTATGAAGAAGCTCAACTTGCTCCGCACCAGCGTCGAAGAGGAAACCATGGGCCTGGACGAATCCAAGCACGGCGGCAGCGCGTACGCGATGGAACTCGTCGCCCCGGAACCGGCGTAAACTCGAGTAATCTCATGCTGAGTTGGCGCTTACAAAATGAAGAATTTTTTGTCCGACAATACAAAAGGACCGCGCATTGGGAAGGAACATTCACGCCACCCACTGCGCTGTTGATGTTACATCAGATGATATATATATATTATGAATTCTACTCTACCTCAACCGCGACGTCACTCACCACTCGAGACGACTGATGACAAGTGCCGGATGCGCGCCATGCGCGTCAAACAGCGCGTCCACGGCGTCGTCGGACCTCGCTCTCGCGTGTCGCATTTCTTGGGCGTGAATTCCCGTGTCGCACACGAATAACGCGTCGATATCGGCATCGTTCGCGCCCGCTATATCGTGCGCGAGCGAGTCCCCCACGGCGAGCACTCTTCGCGAGTCCACCGCTGTCGTTCGTCCAATCTCTCCAAGCAACGCATTGTAGACGATCCCGTCGGGTTTACCCATGAGACACACGTATTCGTCCCCACTCTCACCGTGATGCGCGTATTTAAATGAATCTCGGTAATACGTAGCCAACGTTCCGGGCATCATCATCAACTCGTCGCCCGAGACGGTGACAACATCCGGATTTGCCACGACAAGCGGTTTCTTCTTCTCCGCCGCGCGTTCGATCATCAATCGCATCGTTTCATCGCTCACGGATAGCTCTTTCTCGCCATCGCCTCTACCAAAAGCCTCGACGCCGTGTGCGAGGACGAAGTCGCACGCATCCACGTCCTCGGGCCGCTCGATCGAGACGACTTGATACGCCTCCCCGAACGCCTCGCCGAGCTGCACGTTCCCTCGCATCGACCACGTCGCATGCGCGACGCGCGCGCGTCGTCCCTCGCCCGCAATCGCATCTAAAATTTCACGCAACTTCAAGAAACATGCCTTTTCCGGCACTGTCTCGAGCGTCGACGTCAAGAAAGCCTCGGCGACGTGTCCCGAAGTCATCGCGCCGGCGAACGCCTCCGCGTCGTATCCCATCGCCGCCAACTTTCGTATCGTCCCATCTCGCCCGCGAGACGAATTCGAGAGGACGTATATGGATTTTTTCCTTCGCTTGAGCTCTCGCACGCACTCGATCGCGCGCTCGAACGGCTCGACGCCGTCATGTAAGACGCCTGCGGACGCGTTGCAATCGTCAGTCCCTCTACAACACGAGTCATGACTCATTAAAACCGTTCCAGTGGTCGAAGAGGCTCTTTTAGACGCGCGCGCGCTCTGCGCGCGTCCTCATCGCGATCGAACGCGCGCGTTCGCGAGGCATCGTTCGTACGCACCGAACTGATCGAGCAAAAAGACGTCGTATCGATCGGCGACGTCGCGGAGACGGGATATGTTGATCGTCGCTGAAGCGTGCGCGCGCGCGGCGTCCGACGCGCGCGCGACGATGACGCGCGCGCGCGAGCGCGCATCGGCGTGCGATCGTGTCGACGACGATGCCATCAAATCGATCGAGCGCGTTACGCTCGCTCGCATTTCAGCGCGCTCGACAGTGGCGCGACGCTCCGCGGCGTATTGTGAATATTGTAAAACATGGATTTTTAATCGCCACGACGTCTCCTCGTCGTCGTCGCGCGTCGACGACCCTCCGTCGTCGTCTTGAATTCGCGTCGTATCGTCGACCTCGACCTCTCAAGCGCTCACTTCAACAACTCGTCGTTCTCGGCGTCGAAGATGCACGCCTCGACCTCATCCACGTCGCCGCGCATCACCGCAGTCATGCAATCCTCGAAAACCCGCTCCGCGCTCAGCTCTTTCAACTTTTCCCGCCAGAATTCATCGGTGTTCACCTCCGGGCGCTTCCTGAGTTCGCTCACGACCTCGGTCGAACTCACGCCTTTACCCGTCGCCTCCAGCGCTTCGTCGCACTCGAGCAAGCACCGCTCGAGCTCCTCCGCGTCACCGCTCGCGACGGCGTCGAGACACGAGCGTAAGACGTCTTCGGATTGTTCCGCGGCGTCTCGGCTCGCGCTCACGACGATGCGCGCTCGTGACGTCGCGAAGGGTGTTCGCGCAAGATTTCGATCGAATCGCGAAACCGTCGCGTTTTTGACGCGCGCGATCGATTTAACGCCCGAAAGCGTCGAACACGACGTACGCATCGTCGACATGGTACGCCGCGTCGACGCGTGCGCGTGAGATCGCGCGCGACGACGCGTGCGAGGCGATGTCGTGGAAAACGATTATCGATCGCGCAACGACCTATATAAAAAACGATCGGACAATCGAATATCGTATTTACGTATATTTCAGGTCTGTCAAGTACATCGGTTGGATCCACAGCGAATCTTTCCATGTCAGGTGCTGACTGTACGCGCGCGCTCGACGACGCAGAGCGCGACGACGCAGAGCGCGAGCGTTTCGAAGACGAACGCTGGATGAACGCTCATTATAAATTATTCAATTATTTCTTGCCGCGGGAGACGACGGTTATGTCATCGATGGCTCCGCGCATGAACGCCACGGCGTCGTCCTCGAGCGCGTACTCGTATCGCCCAGCGCCACCAGAGGCGATCATTTCGAGCGTGTTCTTCTCGATTTCGGTCACACCTTGGCCGTCGAACGCGCTCTCGACGATGTTTACGGCAGATTTGAGGTCAATGACGCCCGCGCGGGCCATCACGTCGTCGGCGACGGCGAGCAGACCGTTGTCGTATCGGACCGTTTCGATGGTTCGGTAGTACCCGCTCGGTCGCTTCATCGAGACGAAACGATTTCGAAGAATTACCGTCTTCTTCTCCAGGTCTCTCGGTTCGCGAAGGCGCGTTCGGAGCTCAGGGACGGAGCCGGTATCGTTGAGTCCGCGGGCGCGGCATTCCTCTTGGAGATCGGCTCGCTTCATCGAGCTCAGCGCCTTGAGCGATTTCGGATCATCAAAGACAATTCGAGACCCTGGACGCGCGAGTTGCATCGTTGCGGTCTCGTTCGGCGTCGTCATTACGCCAGGCTTGGGTTGGGGTTCATCAGTAACCTCCACAGCGGGCTCAAAACCGGCAAGTGAAGAATCCGAACCCACCTTGGACGCCTTGGCCTCAGCTTCGGCGGCGCGCTTCGCGAGCGCCTCTGCCTTGGCCTCGGCTTGCGCCGCTGCTTGTGATGCATCGGATAAACGCGCCTCAAGCTCTTCTAATTGTGTTGAGAATCGAGACTCCGCTTCGGCGAGGTCTTGCGCGGCGCGCTCGGCGATTCCTTGCGCCTCTGCCGCCGAGTCTTCCTGCGCACGCGCCCGAGCCAGAGTGGCATCCTCCTCGGCGGCGTTCAATTGGGCGGAGATGCGTGTAATCTCCTCGCGCGCGGCGATGAGCTCGCGTTCGAACTCACTCGTTGCTCTCGAGGCCTTTTCGCTCGCATCGTCCAATCGCCTGGCCAGGGTTTCACGTTCGGCGGTGAGTGCCTCCACCTTTTCTACAGCTTCGGCTCTGGCAGCGCGCAATTCCTCGGCGAGCTTCGTCGCGCGTGCGTCCGCTTCGGCCAGTTGTTTCTCAAACTTTTCGTTCATCGCACGCGTCATAGCGTCATCGGACGCCGCATCCGCTGCTTGACTGAGCTGTCGCTGAAGCGTGTCACTTCGTTGGATTTCTCTCAAAAGGAGATCCTTCGCCTTTTCAGCCTCACGGCGAGCCAAGGCGACATTGGCATCTTCTCGCAGCGCGCGGTTTTCCTCTTCGAGGCGTTCAATCTCGGCCGTGGCGTTTGAATTTCTCTCATTTGCTTCTTCAAGCTCGCTTCGAAGTCGTGGAATGTCGTCTACGTCGCTCTCGAGCTCACGAATTCGCTCCTTAAGTTCACCATCCTCCTCGAGAAGTTGGACCATGTCCGCGGAGAGTTGGTTGAAAGCCGCTTCTCCGGTATCGTACCGCTCTTGTATGTCCGCCAACTTTTCAATGGTCATGCGTAAGGTTTCAATCTCTTGTACTGCTTTTCGCAGGCTGTCTGCCTCTTCAATAGCCGACGCCTCCGCGTCTTCGAGCCGAGCGCGAAGCGTGTCGCTCTCTTCTTCCAAATCACGAAGCGCTTCCTTACGCTTGAAGTCTTCTTCAGTGAGTTGGAACATGTCTACCGAGAGACCCTCTAACTTGGCTTGCTCCTCCTCAAGTCGTTCCTCGGCGTCCACAAGTTGTGCACGGAGCGTTTCGATTTCCTCTGCTGCGTCGGCAATCGCCGCCTCCATCGCGCGCGCATCCTCCATGAGTCGTGCCGTCACGCGCACAACCTCTTCCACACTTTCTCTTTTGACGGCTTCTTTTTCACGAATCGTGTCATTGAGTCGTTCAGTGATTTCAGTGATGCGGGCCTCGGCTTCGGCTTTGGCCTCATCCAGGAGTCTTTGCTTCTGTTGAATTTCTTCCGTCGCACGCCTCTTCTCTTCCTCAAAGACTGTCGCCTTCTTTTCAGCATCAGTCTTCATTTCATCGAGCTTGGACCTTTCCCTGGCGTATTGCTCGTTCAGGCGGTCGATCTCCTTTTGCTTGATATCGGCTTCTCTTGCCAAAGCGGCACGGATGGCTTCGACATCGACGGCAGCTGAATCTTTGAGGCTGGCGATCTCACTCGCGTAGGAACGCTCGCTCTCGGCGAGGGCCTGTTGCGCTGCTGTGAGTTCATCCATCTTCTCGTTCAGAGCCACGGTGAGGCGCTCGCACTCCTCGCGAGAATCGATGAGCTCTTGCGGTTCGACCATGGCACTGACGCGTTGCTCGAGCGCTCGCTTCTCCTCGCTGAGCGCGGCAAGTTGTTGAGTATTTATCGCGATCTGCGCGGCGTAGTCGGTCTCCTTCTTGCGAAGCGCATTCGTGAGCTCCTCACGTGCGCGCTTGGCGTCGTTTTGCGCCTCCAACGCTGCGTGCTTGGCGTCGGATATCTGATGCTCGAGCGCCTCGGTCTGCGTGCCGAGCTCCTTCTCCAAACTTTGCATTTTTTGCATCGTTGTAAAAGCTTGCTCCTCGAGAGATTTCACCTTTCGTACCTCGTTGTTGTACTGAGATTCAATCTGGCGACGTTTCTCATCCGCCTCGCGCTGGGCTATCTTCAGTTCGTGTTCGAAGTCGATCTTCATTGTGTCCGCTTCCTCCTCGGCGACGCGCAAAATCGATTCAAGGTCGACTACGCGTATCTTCAAGTCCTCATTTTCATTCGTCAGAGCCTTGACGCGATCGGCGAGCTCATCGACGAGTGAAGCTCTCTCTTCCATTGCCTCGTTCGCCTTGCGTAGTTCGGTAACCGAGGCCTCGAGCTCGGCGACTTGCAACTGGAGAGTTTGAACCTTTTCCAACGCCTCGCTCTTGGCGACGCCTTCATTCTCGAGTTGGCGCTTCAACTCGGCAATCTCACGCTCGTAGTCGCCCGTTTGTTCCTCGAGTTCGAACACGCGCGCCTTCGTTGAGCGCTCAACCTCTTCAAGCTGGATGTTGAACTGTAACTGCGCCTTTTGAAGGTCTGTGAGCGCCGCCTCACACTGCGCACTTAATTCGACGTTCGTCGCGTTCACCTTCTTGAGTTCATTCTCGAGCACGATAGCCTTATCGGTGAGATCTCGAGCCTTCTCGTCACTCTGTTGCGCCGAGCTCAGAGACTTCCCGACGATGACGCGAAGCTCTTCCTCGAGATCGGCCGCCTTCTTTCGCTCCGTGTCGAGCTTTTGCGTCAGTGAAAATTCCACGGAGATTGCCTTACCGAGATCCTCCTTTGCGCGCTCGAGCTCTTCGACGAGCGCTGCCACGCGATTCTCTTCGTTCAATGTATCTGCGGTTCGGCTGAGCTGGCGCTGCAAGGTGTCGCTTCGCTTCATCTCTTGCATCAACAGATCCGTCGCCTTGTCCGCCTCTCGGCGCGTCGCTGCGAGTTCGGATTCGATTTTCTCGCGGATCTCCCTTTCGATCCCGGCGGTATCGATCTCTGACTTCAAATCAGGGGGCGTCCATGGCTTCGGAGGCGCCGTGCCGAACAGTTCGGAGAACGTGCGAGGAAGTTGTTTCTTCAAAGTTTCGGCAGCCAGTTTTTCCTTCTCCGCGGCGAATGCTTCCTTTTCGGCGACAAGATTGTTCATTTCTACAGCGAGTGCTTCCTTTTCGGCGGCGATTTTTTCCTTTTCCGCGGACAACACCTTCTTGGCCGACTCGACGTCCGCTTGTGCCTGCGCCTCGTCCCGCGTACTCTCGCTCTCGTACTCTCTCATCAATCCCGTAGCTTCGCGCTCGGGCTCGGCGGCGAGTACGTTCGTCTTGCGCTCCTGCTGGGGCATTCTTCGCAATTTTTCCTTCTCTTCCTTTTCCGCTTTGATCTTTGCCTCGCGAAGCTCCATCGCGGCTCGGCGATCGGCTTCGAACGCTGATCGCTTTGCCTCGCGCTCGAATCGCTGCCGTTCGGCATCGAGCGCCCTCGCTCGCGCGACGGCCTCACGTTTCTCTTGAGTCTCCTTGATCGCTCTCTCGCGCTCTTCTTTGTTCCTCGCCTTCTCAGCCTCTCGCTCCTCGGCGACTCGACGAACCTCGATGATTTCCTCGTCTCTCGTTTTGATGTACGTCTCCATCGCCTGTTTCACGCTATTCGGGACTTCCTCAGTGCTCATGGCGCGTATCTGGTTGATACTCTCAGACACCGCGTTGTCAAGAGCTGTGTTCGTCGCCGCTATGCGCCCGACGAGCGCCGCCGCGCCCTCGTACTGTGAAACCGCCTCCACAAGATCCAATCGAAGCGTCGCGCGTCCCTCCTGCGTCGTCAACAGTCGTCGGTACTTGGCGCCGTAGTACAACGTGACGCACAACCCCAACAGTTGCTCAAACGCCGCTAACGGCGGCACGCGCTCCACGCTCGTGAGCACCGCGTCGAGACTCACCGTGGACGTCACCGCGGCGACGCCGATGCCCGCCACGGCGCTCAGCGCCACGCCCCGTCGCATCGCGCTCCCTCGCACGCGCTCGTAATCTTCCCACCCCGCCTCGTCGTCCAACGACTCGTACGACGCCAAATCTTCCAACAACGCCCCAGTCTGTCTCACCGCGCTCGATGTGATCGCCTTGACGTCCCGCTCCGCTTGCTCGGCGTCCTTCGGCTCGAGTAACCGCGCCACGGCGGCGTCCCACCCATTCCTCGCCTTCGTCATCGCCGACGTCACCGATCCATCGGCATCTTCATTCGATGCGCTCCGCGCGACCACATCATCGCTCGATCGCTCGTCGACGTCGCCATCGTTCTCGACGTCCGCCCGCGCGCCCGGCGCCGCCAACCGCGCCGCGCCGCGCCGATTCGGCCGACACCTTCTCCGCACCCCGCGTCTCGCCTCGACGTGTCGCTCGAACGACGTCACGCATCGCGTCACGCGCATCGACGCCTCCGCGCGCATCACCGAAGACGCGCGGCGATGGGAAACGAGCGAAGATTGCGATGAAGCAAACAAATCCAAAAGATGATTGATTTTCAAATCGTCCTCGACCGCGTCTCTGTTCGCGCGTCTCCGCCGTCGCGCGCGCGCGACGGACGACGCCGGAGGACGAAGACGGAACGCGCGTCGATCGTCCGCGGCGCGAGAGGGCGCGCGATCGACGACGCGGTGTGCGGTGCGCGCGACGGTCGACGGTCGCGTGTTCGCACATACAAGGGGTTTAGTTTCTATGCGTCGCGCGGACGTCCGGGAACGACGACATCGATCGAAGCCACGACGATGACGACGACGACGACGACCACGACGTTCGTAAAGAGTGATGTTTCGTCTATTGAAGTCGTATACGCAGTGAGTCTTGGATCATCGTCGAGGGTCGGCGGTCGACGCCGAGGCGGCGGAGGCGCGCTCGGGCGCGCGGCGCGCTCGGGCGCGGCCGTCGGACTCGAGCGTTGTTCACTCGCATCGTTCGTTCCATCCTCACGCGCTCGCGGCGGCGTCGGTGTGTGCGTTCGGTGAACCCGCGCGGCGTCTGGACGCGACGCGATCGAGGTACTCGTCCCAAAACGGGAGCGTCCATCGTCGTCCGCACTCGCGCGCGACGTCCCACGAGCTCGCGACGCCCGCGAACGCGCCGTCGTCGTCCGTCACCGCCAAGTGATGCACGCGCTTCCGCGTGAGCAGCGCTCCGACCTCCTCGGCGGTCATCATCGGACTCGCGCACGTCACGTTCGCGTTCATCACCAGCGCGCACGTCGTCTCGAGCGGAATTCTTTGGAGAAACCACTCCAACGCGTCGCTCTTGGTGATGATCCCACGCGGGGTCCCGTCTCCGTTCGGATCGAGCACGACGACGCATCCGACCGATGAATCGTACACCATACTGTGCACGACGCTCTCCAACGCGCTATCCGTGGACGCGGTGACGCATCGCGACGCCGGGGTCATGAAATCTTTCACGCGGCGCATCGTCTCTTGGTATCTCCGCCGAGAATCTCCGAGGACGCGCGATCACGTCCGGGCGCCGTACGCTCGAGTTTTCGTCTCGAACGACGCGGGTATTTTTTCTTCCTCCGTGGCGCGCTCGCGGACGCGCGCCGGACGATCGCGCGCGTCGTCGTCGTCGTCGAGGGCGAATCGACGGCGACGCGTCGTCTCGGCGCGCGTGACTGCCGGGCGGACGTTTTCGTCAAACCCTCGGGCGTTTACGTATTAGGAAAGTCATAAACCTATGTAATGCATCCATACCGTTGTTTTTATACGTGGGCGTCTTTTCCACCAGTTCCCCCGTGGATGTATCGTAGTGTAGGGACTTCTGATACTATGTATGAATACGAAGAGACAACCGGCCGTTGCGCGCGCCGACCGCGGCACTCGCGCGCGTCGCGCGCGCGCGTCGAGGGCGGTCGCGAGACGCCCTGAGCGCCCAGACGCCATCGCCCGTCCCTCGCGCGCGGTGAGATTTCGGAACGCGACGTCGCGGAGGCGCGCATTCGAAAGATTTGTGTCGACGAATTTCATTTTTGAGAAATTGTCGAACATTCGATCGACGCTCGAGCGACGCGCGCGGCGCGGTCGAGCGCGTGCGCGGTCGGAATAGACGAAAGCACGTGTGCGAGCGTGTGCGGGGTCGCGATTCGATCGCTCAACGCTCGACGAGGCGGCTAGGGTGAAGGATTCGAGCGTTCGCGCGCGCTCGTCGCGTCGCGCGAGCGTCGACGCCGCCGACGACGTCGGTTGAACATCTCGCGCGCGCACGGGTCGAATTCGAGGCCTCGAGAGATGTTTGGGTTTGGTCGTGATTTGCGATCGGAATCGAGCAAGGAGCGCACGTCGGCGGAGCGCATGGACGCGATGGAGCAACGCGCATTTAGCGCGTTGAGCGCGGGCGGGAGCGACGGCGCGTCGAGCGTGCGATCGAGCGATGCGTTCAGTGATTTAGCGTCCGAGGATGGGTTTCCGTCTACGAGCTCGGACGCGGGGCGTCGGCGTTTATTTCTGCAGAATAAAGGCAGGGGATCGCGATTCGCCGCGCGTGTGCGAGAAGAGTCGCTGCGACAAGAGGCGAGCGGACGGGTCTCACCGCTCACGGCGACGGCGCCGACGATGCGCGGGACTTCGTCGACGACGCGTAATCCTGTATCTTCGTCGTCGTTTGACATCGCCGAGAACGCGCGGTTGGCGCTGGAGGCGAAGGACGCGCAGTTAAATAAGATGGCGGCTCGATTAGCCGAGCTCGAGCGACAGCGAGACGCCGAGATGAAAGATCGCGTGCGAACAGAGGTGGACGCGTTCTCGGGCGCGGCGAACGATTTAGAAGCGGAGATGGCGAACGCGATGAAAAATCTACGCTCACAAGGTTCGGGGTCTGGGAACGGATCGGTGGAGAAATTCGCCCTCAGCGGGTTCGCGTCCAGAGACAACGACGGGAAGGATGGCAATCGAAGCGCGAGAATTGGCGAGGAACCGATTAGCGAGGCTTTGCATTCGCGCGCGAAGACACCGGATCGAGAACCGACGACGACGGCAGCTCCACGCGACGAACGAGCGGAGGACGCGCGTTCTGTCGGATTTGATGTGCGCACGCCCGAACCCGGGACGAGAGTCGAGGGCGGTGTGCTCACTTCGAGCGGACGCATCGTCGCCAGTGCGTTGAAGACGACGTCGTCCGTCGGCACTCACAGAGGGAAGGAATCGATATCTCCGGCTTCGATGACACAGAAGAATGTGGTGTTCAATCGAGAGGAGGCGTACTCAGACGCGGGCGTCATGCTCGATCCGCAAGAGATAGATGCTTTACGAGCAGAGCTTCGCGAGGTGAGACAAGCTCTGAAAAGTGCGTTTGGTGTGAGCGAAAAGCTCGTCGCGCAGTGCGAGAAGAAGAATCGCGAGCTTAAGGAGAAAAATCTCGCGATTAAGCTCGCGCGAGAGGAAGTCGAGCGCGCTCGTGAGGAGGTGCGAATCGCCAAGGAGACGACGAAGCCTTCGTCGTGGATTGACGACATATTGAACGACGTCGAGGGCGACGCGCGATTACGCGTCGCTTTGGAGACTTTGAACAAGTGCAAAGACCTCAACGCAAAGTTGTTGCAAGTGATGAAAACCTCCATCGGGGTCAACGCGGAGACTAGTCCTGGGGTCGTCTTCAACATCTTACCCGCAGTGACGTCGCTCGCTACTCGTGGTGATGTTGCAGATGCCATGGTCCAAGCTGGAGCTCTGATTGCGATCGCAAATTCCTTAGACTTGTTCGCAAAAGACGTCGCAGTGTGCAGACGCGCTATGCAAGCCGTGGGCTCAATCTGTCGCGCTGGTGGTTCCGACGCTTCGACGCAAGACGATGAGATCGTCGAGTTACGAGTGAATCTCACGAATGCCGCGATCGAGCAAGCGGCGTCGTCAGTGTTAAAAGCGGTGGAGACGCACTTGAAGGACGCTCCTCTGTGCGAATTAGCGTGCGACGTCGTTCGCGCGTTCGTCGAGTACGGCGATCTCGAGTTCATCAAGACGCTCGTGAACGACATGCGCGTAGTTCAAAGGATGTGCGAGGTGTCGCAGTCCCACCCGAACGACGAACGCGCGCAAAGGGCGTCATCGCTCGCCATCGCGGCTCTGGCGACGACGAACGAGCAGACGAAGGAAATCGTCGAACGATCCGGCGGATTCGCCCTCGTCCGAAGGTGCGCGGCCGAGCTCGGAATCGACGACGCGTTACGAGTGTATCCGGCGATGCGTCGGTGGTTATCGGGTAAGAAAACGAAGGAGGAGCTCGAGAGAGACGAGGCGAGCACGCGCGAGCGTTTCGACGACGACGTCGACGACGACTTCGTAGACAACCTATAGTAGTTGATTAGATAATTGGCGCGTGAAAATGTCATGATTTGAAATTGATCAATGACATCATCGAGCTCTACTAAAATTGAGCTACGTCAGATCGTCCTCCTCCGCCTCTTGACGCGCGACGATGCGCTTCTTCGCCTTGAGCAGCATCGTCGTCTTCCACGCGTCCAATCGGCTCATCGAGTCGAAATCCGCCACTGCGCTAGAAAATTCGTCTTGATCGCCGTTTTCAAATGCCTTCGCGCACTTGAGCAACAAATCTCGTTCGCGAGTGCCGTTGAAACTCGGATCGAGCTCGTCGTACTTGTCCACGGCGTTCATCACTCCGATGGCGTCGCACCAACACATCCGACAGATCCCAGCGCTCAAAAAGTACCCCTTGACGCTGAATCGCAACAAGTTGTTACTCAGCGAAGCTCTCCCGACGTCTTCGAAGATCTCCGTCGCGTCTTCGTCTCGATCGAGCTTGGCGCTCAGGATGAACGCCGTCTTCAGTTTCACGTTATTCGCCGTCGCGCTCGATCCCTCTTCGCTCTCGTACAACTCCGCCGCTCGCGCGTACGCGCTCACGGCACGATCATACAAACCCTGAGCGTCGTCACCCCCCGAACCAGCGTTTCCGGCGTTCTCAAACACCTCGCCGATCTCCTTCAAGTGCTTGGCGCTCTGGCTCAATCGACCCATCTCCGCGAACATCTCGCTCGCCCGCGTGTAATGCTCCACGCACGCCTCGATTTGCGAGCACCTCTTATACATGTGTCCCGCCTCGGCGTGCGCCGACGCCGCGTCGTGCGTCTCTTTCATCCGTTCTCGACATTTCGCCGCGTCCGCGTACGCGTCCGCCGCCCGCCCGTAATTCTTCGACAGTTTAAACTCCGTCGCCGCGCGCTCGAACAGCTCCGCCGCGTCCTCGTCTCGGGATCCCGACGCGAACAGCGACGTGAACGGGTTCTTCGTCTGCGTCGGCGTCGGCGTCGTCGTCGGCGTCGTCGTCGTCAGTCGTCGTCATCATCGCGACGATCGCTCCACACCGCGCGTGCTCCCTCTCGCGCTCGCGCTCGCTCGCGCGCGCGCGCACCTCCAGACGCTTCCGCGCCTTGGCGCACAGCTCCTCACCCCTCGCGTCGCTCGCGGTGGACATCGCGCGCGTCGACGCCGAGATCTCCCGTCGCGCGGCGTCCGTCGTCCACCGGTGGATGGTTTCAACGCACATCGCGTTCCATCGACGCCGAATACGTCGCACCGACCCCGCATTGGGACGACGATAAACCCCACGCGTCGACGACGACGTCCTAAACCCTCATACCCCGCGTGACGGTGCCGCGACGGTGATCCCGCACCGCGCGACGCGCGACCGCGACGGCGGATGCCGAACCCGATCGCGCGCTTCGAGACGTCCGCGGGGACGTTCGCGTGCGAATTATTCCTCGATCGAACCCCGATCACGGCGTCGAACGTCGTGGATTTGATCGAGCGTGGATTCTGTGCGTGTCGTTAGGGTTTTGCGTGGCTCGCGATGTGCGCGCGATTGTCCCGTACTGACGCGCGCGTTCGGCGATGTATGATAGATGATGGAGTACACTTTCACCGCGTCATTCCAGACTTCATGTTACAGTTTGGATGCCCGCACGCGAAGGACGCGAAGAGCTCGCGCGCGGGCACGGGTGGACCCGAACCCGCGAGCACGTTCACGAATCTCGCGACGGGGGCGACGATGACGCGAGACGCGCGCGAGGGGAACATTCCGGATGAATTCGCGGATGAGACGAGCAACGACGTCGGCGCGCTGTCGATGGCGAACACGGGCGCGCCCAACAGCGGGGGGTCGCAATTTTTCATCAACACCGCGCATAATGATTTCTTGGATCACTGGAGAGATGATCTGAGCGATTCGAGGCATCCGGTGTTCGGTAAGGTGATCGAGGGCATGGATGTGGTGCGAAAAATTGAGGCGACGAAGACGGATCGAAACGACGCGCCGGTGACGCCGGTGAAGATGATCAGGGCCACGGTTCAGCGGTAGATGCAATTTTTAATATAACGCATCGCATCCGCACCGTTCGCGCGCGCGCTCGACGACGCGGTCGCGCGCGCGCGTCGCGAAGGGCCCGCGCGCGACGCGCGCGACGGCACATTTCGACGCGTCGTGCGCGCGTCATGTTCGCGAATATCGCGCTCGGACGCGCGCACGCGACGCGCGCGCATCACACGCGTGATTCCACGCGGTTTCGTCGCGCGAACGTTCCCAGAGCCCTCGCACGGGGCGACGCATCGAATGAGAAAAATACACTTTTCGACGACACGCAGTGGAAAAACGCGTCGCGAACGACCCTTCTTCCGATGCTCACCGCCTCGCTCGCGGTGGCGATCGCGACGGTGCCCGTGGACGTTTCCGCGGCGATAGATCTCTCGGAAACCAAGTCGGTGATTGAATTCAAACAAAAACTCAAGCCCAGAGTCTCAGAGGTCATCTTGGAGTCGAAATCCGACGCGGCGAACGCCGACTTGGCGTCGAACGATCTCACGGGGGCGATCTACGCCGAGAGTGATCTGAGGAACGCGAACATCTCGAATACCGATGCTCGGGGGGCGGTGTTTTCGAGGGCGATCATGCCTGGGGTGAAGCTCAACGCCACGGACGCGTCGAACGCGATGTTCGATTACGCCGTGTTGAGAGGGGCGGACATGCGAGACGGGGTGTTCGCGAACGCGAATTTCGTGCGGGCGGACATGGGTGAGGCGATGATCGAGGGGGCAGATTTTTCGGAGGCTGTTATCGATCGGTACGAGGCGATTCGATTGTGCGAGCGGGCGAGCGGAACGAATCCGTGGACGGGGATCGAGACGCGCGCGACGCTCGGGTGCGACGACTCGAGGGTGAGCAAGTACGAAGGGAGCGGTCAGGGGGGCGCGAATATCAAGGCGGCGAAGCGCAGTGGAACCTGGGGGGGTGGGAAGTGATAGAGATGTCTAGATCTACTCTTTCGCTACAGAGACTAGCGAAAGTTTGCTATTTTAACATGTTGCTATTGACTGTAAACGCGTTTGTTCGCGTCACAGCGTGACGTGCGCGCAGCGCTGCGGGAACGCGTACAACCGACCGTCGCCGCTCACACACGATGTGAGGTACGATCCTAAACTCGCGTTCGACATCATCGTGTCTAAACTCATCCCATCATCCATGGCGACGCCGTGGAGATACGACTCGAGCGCGCCCGGAACGCTCGCGTCCACCTCGGTGACGTGCGACGTCACGTTGACGTTATACGACGCCCCGCTTGCGCTCAGTGCGTCGCAAATCTGTTCGGCAAACGTCGGTAAGGGTACCGATGACGCTGTGCTCTCCGAAGATCCCACCATTTTCGCCTTCTCGGCGTGGTACATGGCGAAGAATCTCGCGTCGTGGCTCTGTTCGGTGAAGGCGGCGATGAAGCCCAATCCACCAGGTCTCAACGCGGAGAGGAAATTCCTTAAAGCTGCGTGCACCTTACCCCTCGGGACGGTGGTGAACCCGAAAGCGCTATATACGATGTCGTACTGCGCGCCGAGAGATGTGAAAGCGGCGAGCGTTGACCGCTTGAGCGCACCAACTCGAAACGGCGGCTCGAGCGATTCCGACGCCAAACGAAGCGCCGCCTCGGAGACATCCAAAAAGTCGACCGAGACGCACAACCGAGACATTGCTGGATCGGTCAAGCGCTCGCGCATCTTTTCCTCCGTTATTGCGGATAGAGTACGACAGAGAGAGGCGGAGAATGTACCGGCACCGCACTGCGCGTCGAGCGCCGTTAACGCATCCGACGGCAGCGCTCGCGAGGCGTTGAAGCGACGACTCAAACTCGAAGCATCGTCAAAATACGACGATTCCTCGTCATAGTCGGTGATTTCATCTTCATCGTGGCCGTCGCCGTCCATGATCGAGCTCGCCCCGTCATCGTCGTCGTCCACTGCGGCGTTCACTCTGTCACCACCGCGAACTCGCTCGCGCTGCAGCGCCGCGAATGCGCTCCACCAATCGTGCTTCGACGTCACGGATTCCACATCCGTGAGCGTCGAAGCACAAAACCCGGGCGTTCTTCTCAAACGGTCGCGTTTGGGCGTATCTTCCTCGAGCTCGATCATCTGCGCGATCGCCACGTCCGGGACTTCCGCCGTAACCGACGTCTTCGCCTCCGAGCCGTAATCGCTATAAAAATCATCCACGTCGGAAACGTCGTCGTCGTCGAATCGGGACGATGATTCGTCGTCCTCATCGTCATCATCGAAGCGTGAAGATTCATCTTCGGACGTTCCGTCACCGGTGACGATCGTGTCGTCATCCTCGGAATCGATCTCGAGCAGCGGTTTTCTCGCGGATTCATCGTCGTCGACAGCCGCGCGAGACGCAAAGCCGTCGCGAGCGCGCGACGGTTCTTCGTTCGACGCTGAAACGGACTCGTTCGATCCCAATAAGCGCGCTTTTCTGGACGCGCGATCGACCGCTCGGGACACGCGTGAGATTTCGTTCGAGCTCACGACGCCGACGTTTTCCATCCAACCCGCTCTGAGCAACACGCGTCGCGTCGTCGCCTTTACGAAATCCTGCGCGGCAAAGGAAACGCACGCGAACGCCGAGACGAAAACCACGGTTGGCCAAGAGATGGAACGCAAAGCGTTGAACGGCCAATTGGCAGCGAGCATGCACGATGCCGTGAGCGACGTCGCGAATGCGGAGACGAGTAAACCTCCCGGTCTGCGTTCGACGAAGGACGATCGCGTCCGGGCGCTAAACGCGCTCATCGCGTCGGTGAGCGCAATCTTCAAGAACACGCACATTTGCGCCTTACCGAACGCCACTGTAGGATCATCCGTGGTGGATTTCGCGAATGCGCCGAGGGAGACGACGAGGAGGGCGATCGAACCGAGCGCCGCCGTGGAGCCGCTCGCGACGGCGACGACGACATCCGGCGCCAAGCGCCATCGCTCGGGTAATCGAGACGGTGAGGCGTGATCGTACGCCGCACCGATCACCACGAGATCGTCCAGGGCAAGGACAACGCATAACGCGATCACTGGTAAGGTGAATGTGTCCGGCCACGTCGAGTCGAAAGCTTTCGGCGACACGAATAAGGCTCCCATGGCGAAGAATCCCAAGATGTGCGCCGTACACGTCGCTCGGAATGCGACGTAATCACGAACGCGCGCAAACATGACGCGAGACGCTAGCACGGCGTGCGCCAAAACCGCCAGGGATGGTACGGCGAGCACGACATCGGCGGCGCACTTTGCGGCGTCCGTGGCGTCCCTGGAAACGACGCCCACGTGCGATAATCTGAGCGCGGCGACGTCGCTCGACGAGCCGTCGCTCACGAGACCTACGACGTCACCCTTGGCACGATGCGCGCCGATCAAAGCGCGCTTATCCTCGGCTAGCATGTTCGAATAAGCGTTCTGCTCGTGCAATGCGTCGCACTGCGTGGGCGTGAGCACGCTCGTTCGAAGCGGCACGTACGGGACGTCGGACGGCGACGAAACCCCGCTCGAGGCGACGATGAATCCAATCTTTTCGCACGCCAAGGAGCACGTTCGTGCGTCATCCGCGGTGACAATCTTCACGTCCACCCCGAGCGAGGCGAACGCGTGCGTCATCTCGCTCGCGTCTCGCCTGCGAACGTCCTCGTAAATAACCAGTCCCATGGCGACGAAGGAGTCGTCGTGCGTCTTTGACGCCGCCACCACGAGCGCTCGAGAAATCGCCCCGCGCTGCGCTCGCGATTGTAACCGCTCCATCGCGTCCGTCATTACGTTTCGCACTTCCTCGCCGTTCGAGCACAGTTTCAAAGTCTCCTCGGTCGGACCTTTGATGACTCGAAACGTCGATCCGTCGCGCCGTCGCACGACGGATTCCGCGAACCTTCGCCCGGACCTGGCGTCGAAGGGTTTGTGCGCTTCGAGCTCGTATTGCGCCAGAGCGGAGACGTCAAAGGCATCTAGAATCATGGAATCCACCGCGTTCGTCGACGGCTCGTTCCATCTCGTCGCCAAAGCCGCCGCGGTCATGACGTCGTTCTCGCTCACGCCTTGTAAAAGCGGCACCGTCGGGACGACGTCGTCCAATTTCGTCGCGTCCCGCGTTAAAGCACCCGTTTTGTCCACGCACAGGACGTTCATCGAGGCTAAATCCTCCACGACGCTCATCCGCGTCACGATCGCCGATTTCAACGCCAACGCCCGAACGCCGAGCGAGGTCGTCATCGCCGTCACGGTGCGAATCGCCAGCGGCGTCGCGCTGATCAAGAGCACGACGGAAAAAGCGAGCGAGCGGAAAAAGTCACGCCCGTCGACGATGAGATATAAGAAGACTGCGAGCGTGATCGCCGCCCCCGTCGCGGCGCTCATTCGCGTGACCAATCGCACGTTGTCGTCGAACGCCGACGTCTCCCTGCGCGCGCGCTCGCGTTTACGCACGAGCGACGCCGCTCTACCCGCGAACGTGTTCATTCCAGTGCGCACCACGAGCGCTCGAGCGGTGCCTCGTTTCACCACGCTCCGCATCAACAACGGCTCACCCGTCGTCGCTTCCACCGTGTGTCGTTCGCCCGTGATCGCTGAGTTATCCATCGTCATCGGATTCGGGCCGAGCGAGACGCAATCTGCCGGGACAACCTTACCCGGCGACAGCACGACGACATCGCCCGGAACGAGCGTTTTCGCGTCCACGATCGTCGCCTTGGAGTCTCTGATCGCCGTCGCCCGTTGTTCCAACGAATTCGTGAGCGCGTACGAAGCCTCGATCGCGTCTCGGCGCTCGGCGTGCGACACGTACGCGTTGCCGACGATTAAAATCGTCAAAATCATCGCGTTGAACAGCGGATCATCCGTCGACGTCGCACGCGCGTTCATCGATCTCAACAACTCGAGCGCGATCGAGAACACGGATAACCGCAAGGTTGGGTCTCTGATTTCTCTCCTCAACGCGGCGCCGAACGACGCCGCCGAAGCCGTCGCCGCGGACGCGCGCGCGTTCGACGTCCGCCTCCTCGACGACGCCCCCGTACCCCCCAGGAGTCCCCGCACGTACCCCCCGACGTCGAATCCGCTCCCCGCCCCCCATGAATCCTCAATCTCACCCGTCCCGCTCTCGTTCGCGCCGTATCGCGCCAACCGCCCGCGCGCCTCATCCGTCGACAACCCCCTCGACGCGCTCGTGTCCAAATCCTCCGGATCCACCGTCCCGTGCCCCCCCAACCCGGGTCCACCCAACCCCGTCGCCATCATCGCCCGCGCGACGCGTTCGACGTCCGAATCATCGTCGCCGCCGTCGTCCTCCCGCGCCGCGCCGCCGTCGTCGTCCCGTCCCGTCGCCAACGCGCGCAGAAACCCACGAACGCCCCCGCTCGAAGCCCCGCGCGCGTTCACGGGCGTCCACGCGCGTTCGGCGTCGTCCAGCATGCGCTCGTACGCGTCACCGTCGAGCGCGCGCGGGGTTCGGTCGTCGGTCGAATCATCACCATCATCATAATCATAATCATCATCATCACCATTCAGACGTCCACGCATCGTCCACGCGCGCGCGCGCCCGCGCCCCGACCGACCCCGACCGCGCCCGCGCGATGAAGGACGCGGGAGACGCCGCGCGCGTCCCGCGCGCGAGTGCGGCGCGCGCGAGTCCATCGCGTGGGTGGTACGTACATACATTATACACATATACCCCATGTAATGTACACACGAGGCACGCCACCACACCGATATACACCGACACCGGACACACGACGTGTATTCTATAGAGGAATCCAATATACACTATGTACACGTATAGTATACAGGTATACCCTATGTCATATAAAACACACCCCCTGGCGGCGGCGCGCCCATCGCGCACACGTGATACCACAAATTGATCTACACTACGACACACACCCGCGCCCCCCATCCCGCGCCGCGACATGGCGCTCGCCCTCGCGCGCGTCGCCCGTGCGCTCGCCCGCGACGTCGCCCCCGTCGCGCGCGCGCGATCGATCGTCGATGGAATATGTCTCGCGTCCTACGCCACGTCCGCGCGCGCGGTGGACGCGATACATCGCGTCGTGGATGCGAAAACATCATCATCATCGACCGCGCCGCGACGCACGGGGGCGATCGGGATAAAGTGCGGGATGACCGCCGATTGGGACGCCCGAGGGTGCCGACACGCCCTCACCGTGGTCTGGCTCGACGGCGTGGAGGTGGTGCGACGGACGGGGCGGGACGGGGCGAACGGGTACGACGCGGTGCAAATCGGGTACGGCGCGCGCAAGGCGAAAGGAGTGACGAAAGCCGAGCTCGGGCACTTCGTGCGACACGGGAGTGGGATTAAACGAGGTTTGAAGGAGTTTCGCGTCTCGCGGTGCGGAACGCTGACGCCGGGGACGGTGATCACGGCGGCGCACTTCGCGGCGGGGCAGTACGTGGACGTCGGCGGGACGACGAAAGGGAAAGGGTTTCAAGGACCGATGAAACGGTGGGGGTTCGCGGGACAGCCCGCTACGCACGGGAACACGAAGAAACATCGCGCGCACGGGTCGATCGGGCAGTGTCAGGATCCGGGGCGGGTGTTTAAGGGGAAAAAAATGGCGGGACGCATGGGCGGACGGCGGCGCACGGTGCAGAGCGCGTACGTGTGGAAGGTGGACACGGAGCGGAATTTGTTATACATCAAGGGACAAATTCCCGGAGGGGCGGGGACGGCGGTGACGATCAGGGATGCGCTGAGAAAGCCGCCGAAATTGGGGGAACAAGTGCCGTTTCCCACGGCGGGGGACGACTACGAGCGCGGCGTCTTCGTCGCGCCGTTACTCGGGAAAGATCCATTCGGGAACGATGAACCCGCGCGGCAACGCGCGTGAGGCGTCGACGCGGGGACACCGTGAGACGTGGTCGCGTTCTTGTAATGTACTGAATCACACGCGTCGTCGTCGAGCTACGAACGCGTTCGCTGAGACGTCGCGCGCGGCGCGCCGGCTCGTCCTCGTTACCCGTCGACGCGTTCGCGACGACGTCTCACCACCCATCGACGCGCTCGCGACGACGTCTCGCCGCCCGTCGACGCGCTCGCGACGACGTCTCATCGCCCGTCGACGCGTTCGCGACGACGTCTCGCCGCCCCTCACGCGTCGTCCGCGTCCTCTCCCCCGAAGACGAGCGGACGTAAAATATCATACGTCTTCGCCAACACCGCCGTCTTGTAACACAAAAACCCACAAAACGTCGCGCCGTACGAAAAATCAAACGGCAACGCCAAGTGATTCCACGCGCTCGTCCCGATCACCAACGACGTCGGGACTAACAACCGCTTTTGCCACAGCGCCCGCGCGTACACCCCGCGCACCTTTCCCAGCGCCCCACCGAGCATGGCCCACACATCCGTCACCGGTTCGTACACTAAATTCCTCACGTAATCCTCCTCCGTGATCCCACCGCGCGAGGCGTCGATCCCATCGACGTGGTCTTCCAACATCTTCAGGTACGCGAGCGCCGCGCATCCGCCGAGCGCCGCGCTCAATCCCGCCCCGACGCCGTACCCCAAGCCGCAGTACACCGCGAGCGCGCCCGCGTGCGTCGTCGCGGTCGATCGCAGGTCTGTTTTCAGCGCCGCGTACGCCGCGTCGGCGTCCGCGCGCGCGTCGGCGGTCGTCGACGTCGTCGCAATCGATGCGTCATCGTCGGCACATCGCGCGCGTCCGTCACGCGTCCATCGCGTCGCCCGATGCGCTCGCGGCGTCGACGACGGGCGCGCGCGCGAACGCGCGGGCGTCGGCGCGGATATCACGCGCGCGCGCGCGGACATCGCGCGCGTCGTCGCGCGATGGCGATCGAGCCATCGGTCATCATCGTAGGTTTAGGGTTCAGACAGGTTTCATCCTAGGGTTTAGTTCGTCGCGTCGTGCGACCGATCGACCGCGACCGCGTCGTACAGCGCTCGATTTTCACCAATCACGGCCCACACACCGCGGCGCACGCGTCGCGTCCGCTCTTCGCGCGCGCGCGCGCGACGACGCGCGCGATGCCCCCTGGCGCGCGGGCGACGCGCGCGATGACCTCCGCGCGCGCGCGTCGCGGCGAGAAGTCCAAAACCGGCGGCTTTTTCACCCGCCATCGGTCGGTGTTCCTGTACGTCCCCAATCTCATCGGGTACGGGCGATTACTCGCGTGCGCGCTCGCCATGGCGCGCGCGTTCACGGACGTCAACGCGTTCACGATGCTCTACGCCCTGTCCTTCGCCTGCGACGCGATCGATGGGGCGTGCGCGCGCGCGTTCGAGCAATCATCGACGTTCGGCGCGGCGTTGGACATGATCACCGATCGCGTCGCGACGACGGCGCTGTTGACCACGCTCGCGTGCGCGGACGAGAGGTTTCGTTTAAGTGCGATTGCGTTGATCGCGCTCGATGTGTCGAGTCACTGGATGCACGATCGAGCGATGACGACGCTCGGGAAGGCGTCGCATAAGGATGTGGGCGGGACGCGATACGGATGGATCACGCGGTATTACTACGAATCGAGGCTCTTCATGGGGGCGTGTTGCGTCGGCGCGGAGGTCATGTACGTCAGTTTACACGTCTTGGCGATCGATCCGACGGAGCGAACGCGGACGTGGGTGTGGGTGATCTCCGGGGGGACGGCGACGTTCGCGCGCTTGGCGCGCCTCGCGGCGCCGCTGTGGGCGGTCAAGCAATGGACCAACGTCGCGCAGCTCGTCTCGGCGTGTCGGATTTTAGCCGCGAGTGATGCCGTGGAGACGTGATCGACGTGATCGGCGCGTGAGGTCGGTCGGGACGTCGGACGTCGGGCGAATGACGCGAATGCGGTCTGAACGCCTCGGTCTGAATATTCGGCGCGTCGGACGCGCGAGGCGTCGACGACGCCCACGCCATCCAGCGCGTCGACGACGCGCTTCGAGATATCTCTCGCGCTCGTCGGACCGACGAACGGACGAACGGACGCGCGCGTGATCTCACACGGAGGCGCGAACGTCTCGCGCCGCGCCGCCGCCGCCGCCGCCGCCGCGTCGCCGCGCGCGAGCGCCATCGCGACCTCGATCGCGCGCTCGACGGTTTTCACCACCACCACCTGTCGTTATAATCGTTTAAAATCCCCGACGCCTCGCCCGGGGCGCATCTCTCGCTCGCGCGCGGCGTCGTCGCCGCCGTCGCCCGCCGCGCCGTCTTCATTCCATGCCGTCACCGCCCGCGTCCACGTTCGCCGTGCTCGACCTCGCGCGCGCGCGCGCGGGTGACGCCGACGCCGACGCCGACGCCGACGTCGCGATCGCCCTCCTCGCGCGAGAGGACGAGACGTGGACGCGCGTCGACGTGCGTCGGGGGAGATTTCCGAGCGATGCTCTTACCGACGCGCTCGCGGGCGTCGTCGTCGTCGGCGGGCGGAAGCGCGTGGTGGACGACGCGCGTGCGTCGCCGGGCGGTAGCGCGCGCGCGAGCGGCGCGCTCGCCGGGGGCGTGAGAGGCGATGATGATGATTTCGATGATGATTTCGATGATGATGATGTCGACGCCGACGCAATCGCCTGGCTCGCGCGCGCGCGCGCAAGAGCGCGGTCGGTTCCGCTCAGAGTGTTCGCCGCCGGCGCGCGCGCGCGCGCGATCGCGCGCGCGCTCGGGAAGACGCGCGCGGACGCGGACGACGTCGATTCCGGGACGACGGCGTGCGCGACGTTTCGCGCCTCGACGTTTCGCGCCGACGACGCCTTCGCCGCGGCCTCGCGCGCGCTGGGGTCGTCGACCGGGACGACGTCGATGTCGACGTCGAGCGCTGGGCTGGAGACGAGCGAACGCGCGCCCGATGGGTTCGTCGCGACGGCGACGCGCGACGGCCGCGTCGAGGCGTGGACGTCGGCGGACGGCGACGCGATGTGCGCGCGACGGGCGCCCTGGGACATGATCGCGACCGCGACGACAGATGCGAGTGATGACGACGCGTTTTTCCTCGCGTACGTCCGCGCGTTCCTACGGCGTGGGACGTTACGCGAGGACGAGGACGGGGCGTATTTGGCGGCGCGGCGGCGACGCGCCGAGGACGCGCGCGCGTCGCACGCGCGACGACGCGACGACGACGCGTCCACGCCCGCGCGCGGCGTCCACGCGCACGACGCGCGCGCGCGGGTGGACGGCGACGCCCGAGCGGTGGCGAAGGCGTCGAGCGCGTTCGCGGCGGCGGCGCAGGCGTCGGCGGCTGAATTCGACGCCGCGCGCGCCGAGTTCGCCTTCCTCGCCGCCGCCCACGCGTGCGCCGCGCGCGAGTACGACGCCGTGGGCGCCGCACTCGACGACGTCACGCGCCTCGTCGAGGTTTTGCGCGCCAAGGATGACGTCGCGCGTCGTCGGCTCATCGTCGTCGACGCCGTCGAACGCGAGTTGGAGACCATCGAGCGCGCGTGTCGCGCCGCGAGCGCCGCCGTGGACGATCTCGAGCGCCGTCGCGACGCTCTCAGCCGTCGCGCCGGATCCACGCCGACGTGACCGCGCGGGACGTTCGCGTGACATCCGCGGGTCGTCGCGTCCGCGGGTCGTCGCCGCCGGCGACGACCCGAAGCGCTCGCCGCGGCGTCCACCACGCGCTTGTCGACCCTCTTCCCCCGCGCACCGTGGTCTCGTCGCGTGTAAAACACACCAGGACGCCCAAATACGCCATCGCTCGACCCGCACTACCGCTGACGCGCGCGCCGTCGTCGCCGCGCGACCCGACGCCGCCGCGCGTCGCGCCGTCGCCCCACATCGCGATGCCCACCGACGCCCCGACCCCCCCGACCGACGCCGAGCGCTTCGAGCTCGAGCTCGAGTTCGTCCAAGCGCTCGCGAACCCGGCGTACGCGCACTTTCTCGCCGTCGAGGGGTTTTTGGATGACGATCGACTCATTCAATTCATCCATCATCTTCAATACTTTGAGCGTCCCGAGTACGCGCGATACGTGCTCTACCCGCACGCCCTGGCGTTCCGACGGGCGCTCACGTCGAGGCGGTTCCGCCGGGCGATGGCGAACCCGCGGTTCGCGCGACGGTGCGCGGAGACGCAGCGCGCGACGTGGGCGCGCGGACCGGGACGGGGCGCGCGCGACGTCGACGCGTGATTCTTCGGTGCGTCGACGTCATCGGCGGGTCCGTCGCGTCGTCGACGGGCGCGGCGATGTCCGCGGACGCGCGCGGGGCGCGCGCGCGCGGGAGAACGAACGACGGGCGCGGTGGGGGACGTGGGCGGGACGCGGGACGGCGGGACGGCGGCGCGAGAAGAGGCGTCGTGGTGTTTCGACGCGGCGCGCACGACCGCGCGTCAAAGAGCGATCCACCGCCGTGGACGACGTCGTACGCGTTCGATGCGAACGTGTTGGCGTTGAACGGGGCGCGCGAGGGCGGAGCGAGGGAGACGCGCGAGGCGACGCTGGAGGCGACGCTCGAGGTCGACCCGTGCGGGTCGAACGGATTCTTCGTCGACGTCTCCGTCACCGGATCCGTCGCGATGCGGTGCGCGTGCTGCGACGAGACGTTTTTACACGACGTCGTGAACGGACGATCGGGGACGACGAAGGATTCGGCGTCGACCCCGTGCGTCGCGAAGGTGTGGCTCGACCCGGACGCGGACGAAGACGCGTTCTCGGGCGAGTACGAAATCTACCCGTTTCCCCTCACCGTCGACGCCGTGGACCTCACCCCGCTCGTCGCCGACACCGTGCGCGCGTTCGGCGTCCCGGAGGAGTTCGTGTGCGAGGCGTGCGCCGCGGACGAACCGCGCGTCTGGCGCGCCTGAGCGCGACGTCGGACGCGCGCGCGCGCCCGCCCTCGGCGTCGTCCACGTCCCGAGAGATCGCGCGCGTGTAAAATACCAAATCGATGTAGCATCGATCGCGACGACGCCGACGCGACGACGTCGGCATCATTTTTCGAGCCGTCGTCCGCGTCCGCGTCGTCCGCGTTGAAAACCAACAACGCCGCCGCGTCGCCGTCGCCGCGTCTCGTCACACGTCGCCCCGCATGTCCCGAGACCACGACGACGCCCCCACGCGCACCGCCCTCGACCGCTTCGGCGTCGACGTCTCCCACCAAGAGATCTCCCGCATCGTCCAAGAGCTCGAGGAGTTGTACAAGAGTCAACCCGGCGAGTGGCTCCCCGCGCGCGGCGTCGCGTCCTACCTCGCCGCCGAGCTCGGGTACGAGGACGAGGACGAGTTCGAGGACGCGTTACAATCGACCTTTATGGATTTCTTAGCGAAACTCCCGACGATCGAGGTGCGAGAGATCGCGAGCGAGCTCGCGCCCGGGACGTCCCGGACGTGTCTGCGCGTCGTCGACGACCCATCGACGCACGCGCGTCCGCGCGCGCTCACCCTGCGCGTGGCGACGCGGGATGATTTATGGCGCGCGCTGAGCCTGAGCGCGAACGCGTCGTGGGGCGTGCCGGAGATTGATTTCGACGTCGGCGGCGACGTCAAGCGCGTCGAAGACAGCGTGTACAATCACCTCGCGCGCGCCGTGTTCACGCTCGAGCGCCACGCCGAGGCGCTCGCGCGCGTCGACGACGACTCCTCGGACGCGCGCGCGATCGCGCGGACGTGCGAGGGGTTACGTGGATTGTTAGATTTGGACGCGCCGTGGACGTTGGTCGTTCGGGACGTCGACGGTCGATGCGCGTTCAAACCGAGCGATGGCGTGGAGATTCGCCTTTTGGACGACGACGACGCGCGCGTGTGATGATTCATTGTATCTCTTTTCGTTTTGCCATGGCTCGGAGACGCGCGCGCGTGGGTCGATGCGCCATTCGTCGTCGCCGCGTCGTCGCCGTCGCGTCGACGCGTCACGGCGTCGACGCGTCCCGGCGTCGCTTTCGTCGTCCCGCGTCCGTCATGCGCGCGTTCGCGGGCGTCCTGGGGCGTCGCGCGGTGATTCGCGCGCGCGGCGTCGACGCGTTCGACGTGATTCAGGTGCGACGCGAATCACTCATGAATCATTCATGAATTCATCATTCGATCGCCGGTATTCGGCGCGATCGCGACGACGGGCGACTGACCACGGCGCGCGGAGTAGGGCACGATGACGTGTGACGTCGCGCGATGTGGACGCGCGACGTACGGCGCGGCGTTGACGCCGAATGGGAAGATTGTCGTCGACGCGTTCGTCGCGGCGCTCGACGGCGACGCGACGCGCGGGACGGGTGAGTACGTCCTGGACGTCGACGCGGCGAAGATGGATGAGGTGCGATGCCGTCGTGTGATCTCCCGTGACGCGCGCGCGGACGATGGTTGGAGACTGACTGACGAGCGCGGACGCGTCGACGGGGACGATAGACGATGAAATGGTTGCGACGGATGAGTCTGCGGAAACGATGCGTCGTCGAGGACGCGCGCGAGGCGTTTGACGTCGTCGTGTCGACGCGCGCCGAGGATGGCTTGGCGCCGGATCCGAGGTCGCGCACCGCGAGTGGGGTCGCGCTCGGGTTTCGAGGCGTCGCGGCGAAATCGTCGTCGGCGGCGCGCGAGGACGCGACGTTTTTACACGCGAGTCACAGAATCGCGCTCGGCGTCGGGGAAGGGTACGAAGAACTCGGGGGGACGTTTCCGTTGGAGTGTAATTTCGACGCGTTGGACGCCGTGAGTTTTTCAAAGGGATGTTACGTCGGACAGGAGAACACGGCGCGACAACGATTTCGAGGCGCCGTGCGCAAGCGCGTCGCCCCCGTGGTTTTGCGTGAGGGCGTCGGTCGTGAACGCGCGAGGGAGTTGATCGGTCAGAGCGTGGTGAACGAGCGAGGCGATAGGGTCGGTGAGGTCATCGCGAGCGTGGACGGCGCGCGGGCGCTCGTGCGCGCGCGCGTGCAATTTCTCAGAGACGCGCTCGGCGACTCGGACGGCGTCCTTCGTCTGCGCGCGGGCGATCACGACGCGACGTTCACGGTGCCCTCGTGGTGGCCCGAGAGTTACTTGGCGAGCGAGGATTGACGTCATCGCGCGCGTCGAGACATTTTTGTGAATTTTTAACACTCGCGCCCCTCGCGCGGGGCGGATTCGTCTACTCGTCGTCCTCGTCCACGATCAACGCGCGCTTTCGCCGTTCCTTGGGTGCCGCGTCGTCGTCGTCGTCGTCGTCGTCGTCCGCGTTTCCTTGGTCCGCGGCATCGCTCGCGTCTTCGCCTCGTTCCGCGGCGCCGCCGACGTCCTCATCCGCCTCCAAAAAGTCGGCGTCCATCTTCTCCGCGTCCTCCGCGCCGCCGTCGCCGTCGTCTCTGCGCTCGTAATACGACTCCGTGTACCCACGCATGGACTGATGCCGCGATTCCCTATCGTCTCGCATCATCTTCTCCTGCTTACGTTTCAGCGCCAATTGTTCGCGTTCCGCCTTGACCAACGCCGCGTCCACCGCCTCCTTCTCGCGCTCGGGGTCGACGCGAGAGACGTGTTGCCTCGTGCGCGTCGCCCGCGATCCGTGCGCCTTATCCACTCGCCTACTCAGCGCTCTGTGCGTCTTACTCTCCAAACTCGCCGGCGCGAACGTCATCTTCGTCCGCAACCGCTTCCTCGCCTCCATCGCGCCCGGTTTCCGCGCGTACAGCACGGAATCCGCCCCCTCCGCCGTCGCCCGCTCCGTCACTCGCAAATGTTCATCCCCGATCACCAAGTGCGTGGTCCCGTCGCCCCACCGCACGAACCGCGCGTTCGTCTCGACCTCTCCCGTCACCGGATCGATCCTGTATCGTATCACGTTGAGCGCCGCGTCCGCGTCCTCCGCCGTCGACGCGTCCCGTCGCCACGCCCCGTCGCCACGAATTCCCAAAACATTCGTCCGTCTCGCCGTGACCGCCGTCTCCTCGAAATCGCCCTCGGATGGATCGTACGGAATATCAATCACCACCTCCTCCGCGCGCGCGGTCGGCGCGTCCGTCGCGTCGTCGTCCAGGGCGCGATCTTTCACACGCTCGGTGGACGCGCGATGCGTCGCCGCATCGTCGTCGCTCCCGTCGCTATCGCTCCCGAACACGGCGCGTAAGACGTCGGGTCGGGACATGGGTTTTCGTCGATCGTTTCGTCCACGCCGCGCCCGCCGCGGGACGTCGCGCGCGGTGGGGCGCGCCGGATTGTCACGATGTCCCCATCGCGAGGTCACGCACATTGGCACACATGTGGATGTGGGTGACTACGTCCTCGGTACGGCCATCGACGCGACGCGACGCGGCGTCGAGGAGCGCCGCGCGGACGCCGACCGAGGGTCACGAACGATCGTCCCGCGCCGTGGTCTCGGTGATCACGCACTCGTTCCACGCGTCGGCGCCGTGGACGACTCGGGACGGACCGACGAGGACGAAGCCGGCGCGGAGGTAAAACGCCGTCCGCGCGGGCTTACACAACAATCGAATCGAACGCACGCCCGAGGTCGCGCCGCCGCCGTGGGCGTTGAATACCCAATTGTGCGCGTACTCGCGCACGAGCGTTGAACCGTGACCGCGGCGTTGAAGATGACGGCGGACGCACACGGAGTGTATCGCGAGCGTCGAGCCGCCGACGACGTGCGCGCCGGGTCGCATGGATTCCGCCGTGAGCTCGTCGCTCGGTAAGAGGGTTCCGCACACGTAGCCGATGATGTCACCCGGCGCCGCGTCGTCTTCGGTGGTGGCCTTGGCGACCATGAAGAACTCGTTCGCCTCGCGCGCTCTGAATTCCAACGCGGCGTCGCTCGCGGCTTCATCCGCGGGGTACTCTCGACGTTCAATCTCCTTGATCGTCTCCAGATCCCTCTCGGGGTCGCACCGAGTGAAAATCATCCTCGATTCCACCGCGCGCGCGCCCGGCGTCGACGCTCGATTCGCGCGCGCCGCGACGCTTTTGATTGGAATTTGAAATTTTCAAATTCAAACCAATCCTCGCCAAATCTCAAACCACCGACGACGCGACGGACGATCGACCGTCCCGTGCCTCCCGTTCGATCCCTCGACGACGCCTCGGCGGGAGTCGATCGACCTCACGCGCGACGCGCCGCGGACTACGGCGAACACACCGACGTCTTCGCGACGATGTTTTCCACGACGCCATCGATGCGGGCATCCACGGCGCGTCGACGCGTCGCCCGGCGCGCGCGTCCGAGCGACGCCGCCGCGCGTCGTCCCGCGTCATCGCGCCTCGACCCGCGCGCCCGTTTGACGCCCGTTCGACGCCCGCGCGAGGTCTCGCGCGCGCCTCGAGAAAACGAACCGGCGGTGACGGTTCACCTTCTCGAGGTCGCCTCGGCGTCGACACCGCGCGACGCGCGCGCGCGACGGGCGATGGAGCTCTCGATGCGGTTTCGAAATTTTGGCCTTCGAGCGCGCGTGCGGTTCGGGACGGGACGACGGGCGACGCGCGCGCGCACGGTGCTGCCGACGCGCGAGCGCGCGGAGATGACCGCGCGCGACGCGGATGCCTCGGCGCGTGATTTCATCGCGCGCGCGGCGAGCGGGGACGAGCGGACGACCGTGGACGCGGACGCGGACGACGCGCGCGATGCGGTGACGCGCGGGACGGCGGACGACGGGGGGGAGACCGGTGCGCATGTCGTACGAGGTGCTCGTGCGCGCGACGGACGCGCGACGGGCGTGGTCGGTGATTCAGCCCTTGATTTGTCCGCGCGACGCGCGGGAGGCGAAAATGTGCGTCGATGCGATGTCCGCGATCGTCGAGTGCGACGTCGTGGACGGTGAACGGGTGACAGGCGCGGTGGTTCGACAGAAGTCCAAATGGCGGCACGGCGCGCTGATTTCGGGCACGAGCGTGACGACGACGGCGATTGAGACGGATGCGGAAAACTTACGCGCGACGTTCGATGTGGACACCGAGAGCGGAGACGAGCGCGTGAGCACGCTTCGGCGCTATCGCGGATCCACGGATGTGCGTCAGGTGGATGACGATAAGCTCGCCATTCGGATGCGCGGAGAGGCTCGAATCGCGCGCGCGTCGGGATTCACGGGTAAGCTCATTCGTGACGTCATGCTCGGCGCGATGCGCTCGCAGATGAAATCGAGTCTGGTTGATCTCGGAAGAGCGCTCGGATCGGGCGAATCGGTGTCTGCGTGAGCGCGCGCGAGCGCCGGAGAATCGTCGCATTCGCGCGACGTCGTACATCGCACACGTGCTACGTCATTTACATCATCGTCTATCGGCGTCGTAGTACGCCTTTTCTATCCTCGTCCTCGCGCTCTTCGTGTGTTCGAGCGCCTCGGCGACCCGACGCTCTCGCGTCTCCGCGCTCTCGAGCGCGCTCTTCGCCCGCTCGAGCTCAGCCTCGGCTTCGCGTCTCGCCTTGCTCTCCGAAACGACTTCGTTTCGAGACGATCTCAAATCCTCCAAAGTCTTCTCTAATCGCGTCTTATACCCCAACTCCGCGTCCAAGTGCTGCGCCCGCATGTCATCGATCCTACGTTCGAGCGTGACGACGCGCTCGGCGAGCTCGACTCGGCGCGCCGCCTCCGCCCGCGAGCGATCCGCGTTCCTCTCGCACGTCGCCTTGAGCGATGCGTTCGCGTCGTACGCCGCCTTTAACGACGCACGTAATCTCTCTCGTTCGCTCTCGAGCGTACGAACCTCTTCACGAAGCGTCTCACGCTCGACGTCGCGCGCGTCCCGCTCGCGTCGCCGCTCGGCGTCACCCGCCGCCGCGTCGTCGTCTCGCCGACGCAATCGACCTCGCACGCGCTCCAATTCTTTCTCTAAGCCCTCAATCACACCCATCATCGCCGCCGCCTTGGATTCGCCCTCGATCGCCCCCTCCTTCCGTCCTCGCTCGCGCGCCGGCGCGACGTCTCGTTCGGCGCGTCGTCGCCGCGCGCGCTCGACCTCCAACGCCTCCTCCAACGCCTTCTCGCGTTCGCTCGTTCGAGATGCACGCTCGATCGCGCGTTCCAGCGCCTCCGCGGTGTCGATCGACACCCGCCGCTCCGTGTCGAGCTCAATCGTGAGCGCGTCGATTGTCATCGTCGACGTCGCGACGTCCCGCGCGCGCGCCTCCGCGTCGCCGGACGTTCGCTCCAACGCGCCTCGTAACTCGATCATTTCGCGATGCACGGCCGATAGTTCGGCGTCACGTCTCGCCAGGGCGATCGCGAGCGCGTTCAACTCCATGGAATGGACGTGCGCGCGCGCGTCGTCGTCGTGACGTGTGATTTCATCATCAATGTGACTTTTGAAATTTGACACGTCACGAAACGCCTGCGAATCGACGTCACGCCGCTTCGACGTCGACGTCGATGTTCGCATCGCGTTGCGCTCGCACCGATCGAGCGCGCGCAGGAGCTCGCGTTCGAGCGCCTCGGTGCGCGTGAGATCGCGAGGCATTGTATGGACGAATCGCGGTGTGCGCGCGAGGCGCGGCGCGCGGCGAAGGCGAATGAAAACTGTATACTGTATGTACTGACACGCGAGCGCGATCGAAGCGCTCGCCCGGATGTTCTAATTGTTAATGCACACGGAGAGAGCTCGCGGGCCGCTCCTAGTACGGGACGCACCCTGGGGCGTGGCAGAAGCTCCACGCCTTGATGTCGTGCGTCTCGTGCACCTCAACCGCCTGGTAACCAACCTTGGCGAACCCTTTACTCCCCGTGCTCGCGGTGAAACCGATGTAGGCGTTCCCGTCCGTGTCTAAAATCTTCGCCATGTCCCGATCCTCCACGGCGACCTGGAAGACGTAGCGATCCATGTCGTCGATGAAGACTTGAATCTCTCCCGGGAACTCCTTGATGATGTTGTAATCAACCGCGCTCGCTTGCGCCGGGTTAAACGCGGGCTGTTGCATGTCCATGAACGTTTGCACTTCATTGAGCGTCGCGTTCGCCGTCCCCGTATTCTCCAGATGGGCCTCGGTATCGTCGACGATGGATACGACCCTGCACATCTCGCCGTCGTCGGGGAAGCCCGACGTGCCGGTGACGACGGCTTGCGGAGAAGCCTCCGTTTGATCCCGGTTGATCTTCACCTTGACGTTCGCCTTGACGCGTCCACCGTATCCGAACTCGAACCCAGTTCGCAGTTCCGTCTTGAACTTCGTGCTCGTGCCCGCGAGCTTGCGCCTATCGCTCGCAGAGACGTCGGTGGTGGTGATTTGCCCCGTACCGCCCTTCTCCGTGGTGAACCCCCGCGTGTACCTAATCTTCACCGTGTGCGTGAGCGCGTCCGCCAACGTGGGCACGCTCGGCGTGCTCCCGAAGTGCATGCCTTCGAGATCGTCGCTGTGATCAGCTTTGAGGTCTTCCACGGCCGAACCCCACGGTTGGTTGGCGTACGTTGGCGACGTGCTCATGAAGACGCCCACGTGATTGTCATTGTACGACACGTACTCCGTGGCGTTGATCCACCAGTGTTGCTTCCCTTGCTTCGGATCGCGGCGTTCGACGTTGTAGAAGGTATCAAATTCCACGGCGAGCGATTTTTTCAGGCCGTTGACGCATTGCGCGGCGGAGCCAGAGTATCCCGCGGAGTCCACGATTGTGGATTCGCCGTAACCCAAACCGTCACCCGGGCACCCGACAAAACCATGACCCGCGTCGGCGTGGGTGGGGTCGTTATTGTCGGACGCTCCGCAAAGCTGGTACTTAGTACCACTGATAGGTTCGGGGTTCGCAGTGTCGGGCTCATCGCACGCCCAGCCCGTGTTCGCGTGCACAGACGTGACATTCTCTTGACGGTTGTCGTTGGTGATGACAAAGGCGAAACCGTCGGCACCGTCGCAAATCTGATCGCTGCCACCGCACTGCGTCGGAGCGGTGATTTGGAACTCAAAATTTGTTTCGAATCCGTCCCAGATGTGCACCTTGCGATACCACCAGACCGCGCCGACGCGTTGCGACGTGCGGAAATCGTCGCTCGACTTCCACGGACTCCCGCCGGCGGCGCCGTTGGTGCGCGCGTACGCCTCCGTCAGGCGCACGACATGCTTTGGCGAAGCTTCTTCGTTCTCCACGACGTGCGCGTCACCGGCGAATCGCAGACCGTGCGTGTGGCACAAGACGTTGTAAGAGAAGTTGTTCCCCCAAGCCGTGCGCGCGACGGCGCTGTCGTCGCAGGCAAAAGTTGGAAAGTTAAACTCGAGGTAAAACCTCGCGCTGTACTCGCTCGCGCCGACGGTTTGTGGGTAACGGTTATCGCCCATGACGCCGACCAAGATCGTGTCGCAGTCTGGAGAATCGTCGGTGTGAACGTATGAGCCGAGAGCGGTGGAGTAGAGGCCGCCTGCGGCGGCGCCGCCGAGGACGGCTCGATCCAGACCCCCTCCACTCGACGCCGCACACGTGACCAAGGACTCGTCGACGTCGATCGCCCATGGCACGGATTCGCGCACCGACGTGTGACCGTAAGAAGCCGTCGTCGGTCTCGTGGTACCAACCGTGGCGTACAAATCCAAGTTGTCGTTCACCGTGTGCACGGCGATGCGGAAGTTGTAATCGCCGTTGTCGGGCTTGAGGTAATAGTACGCGTACTGTTGCGGATCGACCACGGAGGAGACACGGAAACCGCAGCAACCGGGGTCGATTTCGCAGTACTTGTGCGACCAGGTTTGGTAGAACGAGTGTAATGGATGCGGCAGATACGCTTGCGGTACAACGCTTCGCTCGACGGTGCCTCCGAGCGTGTGACTGCCGTAGATGCCGGCGGCGCACTTGAGCACCTTGATCGTGGTCGAACCGCTGATATCAGTGGGCGCAGACGAGTGCGTCTCAAGCGTGGCGGATGTATCGCTCAAGATCGCCGTGACTCGAGCCTCGGAGGTGCCGCTGTTACCGTCCCAAATGATGTCGCCGACGGAGAGCTCGGAGGTAAACTTGGTCCCCGAGGTGCCGGTGAGCGTGCCGGTGGAGTAAACCACATTCATGGTTCCAGATAGCGTCACCGCCGGGCGGTTGGAATCAGCGCTATTGGCGGCGACGCATTTTCCGTGATTGTAGCAGATCGGCGGGTTCAAGTTGTCGTCCGCGATGTATCGCTCGCCCTCCGTGGAGACGTAGTAGCGGCAGTTTTCGATATCCGCCACGTGCAGACGCCACTCGTCGCCGTCGGTGAATGTAACGCCGCTCTTGAACTTGATATAAACGCCGATACCCTGAGACACGCCTGAATCTTGAAGTTCGGTCCAGGCGGAGGTGGATAATGTCGCTGAGGCCACGTCGTTGGCGAACGTCTTCCAGTACGTCGTGTACTTGAAGTTGGCGCCGCTGTTGTCGATGATGACTCTCGCCGTGACCCCGCGCGGCCACAAAGGCAACAATCGCGTGAGACCACGGACGTAGAGATCGGTCAGTGTCGTGCTCGATCCCGAGGCCGCGACGAACTCGCGGTTACCCAGGGTGAAAGGTCGATCAATCGTCAGCTCGACGTCGGACTGAATCGAGTTCACCATTCTGGTTTGCCCGCACGCCGTGATGGTGTACCCGGTGCGGAGCTGCGTCAGGAATCGAGTGTCGCCGTACACGCCTTGAGATGAGAGCGAGCCGGCGGTGTCGGCCGTGGTGCCTTGGATGTCGACGAAGCCCTCCTTGTTGTCCCAATTGTTGGAGACGACGCGCTTACCGTACGATCGAATCGTGCCGTAGCCCTTCGTGAGCATCGGATACCACTCCCAGTGCGTCGCCTTGAGCAGAGGCTCGGAGAACGAGTTCTTGAGCAGAGCGAGGTATTGGGAGTAGTCCCTGGTGGGGCTCGAGGCATCTGTGCCAATCTCTTTCACGCCCACGGTTTCCCAGTCGCCGTTGATTTGCACGGAGAGCCAAGGACCGGATTTGTAAAACTTGGCGTCCCACGTCGTGCTGGCGCCTAACTGCGACGCAAAACGCGTGCCTCGGCCGTGAATGATGTGCGTCATCCCAGTCGCCGAACCAGAAGCGTCGACGAGATCGCCGGTGTCGGCGTAAATCGTCGCGCTCGCCGTGCGCGTGTTCAGCGCGGGTTGCGTCAACGAACCGACCGCTTGCGATTGGTCCTTGTAAGTCTCGATCGTCCCGAGACCGACGTTGCGCTTCCCGATTCTCGGTGGGCACGACACGAAACCCCACGTGGAGAATCCACCACCGCCGTTTGCGAACGTCGAGATAGCCGTAGAAATTGGGGCGAGACTGTAATCAACCGTCAGCGACGTATCGCTCGCGATGGCCGTGACCACGCGATAGTGCACCACGCTGCTCGCATCGTACCAGATGAGCCAATACCCAACTTTAAGCTCCTTCGTAAACGTCGTCCCGGACCCAGTGATCGTGAGCGTCTCCGTCGTCGCGCTGTTCGGCCGCGCCGTCGTCGCCGTCGAAGCCTCGATCGACCCGGTGCCGTCCCGCGCCGCGATCCCGAACGCGCTCTGATCCGTCACATCCGTCGGATTCGTCGCCAGCTGCAGCGACGTATCGCTCGTCACGTAATCCACGTCATAGCTCGCGACACCGGGAACTTCAAACTTGGCTCCGGACGTTTCGCCGCGGAACGTTCGAGTGAAGCGCGTGTTCACGCCCGTGACGACGCCGCTCGCAACCGTGAATCGCCCGTGTCCCCCGATCAACTTCCCAGGTTCGATATCATCGATGTGATCACCCGTGTTCACGTCACCGTACCCCCCCTGTCCGTTCGGGTCGTGTCCGCACCATCCGCACGCGGTGTTCGCGACGCACGCCGCGCAATTCGTATAGTACTCGCACTGCGCCCTCGCACCCAGGGCGAACGCGAGCGCGAGCGCGATGAAAATCGCTCCACGCGCGCGCATCGGCTTCGTCATCCTTCCCGCGCCGTTCCCGTCGCGTTCGGCGCGCGAACGAGACACCGCGAGATGGATGTCGATTTAAAATGAGCCGCGGATCGACGATCCGTTTGAAAATCGCTCGGAAAACCTCCGTCGCCGTCGCCGGGCGCGCTCGGAAACGCCCTCGGGTGCGTCGGAGAGGTGCGCGCGCGCGTGTCGGTCGACGACGGCCGTCGCGCGGGCGCGCGCGGTCGTGCGCGGAGGCGCGATGTGTGGACGTGATCACGACGGAGCCGCGGGGTGAATGAACCCTTGTGGGCTGGGCGGGCGACGCGCGCGGCGGAGGCGCTCCGGACGCGTCGGTGACGGATCGTCCGGGGTCGGTCGTCGTGTACAGAGGGTAAAACATCGTTCACACGCGTTGGTCTACTTTTTCTCCGCCGCGGCGGCGGCGGCGGCGGCGGCGGCGGCGGCGTCGACGTCCGCCTTGATTTGGTCCAAGTCGCGCGAAAACGGCCCGGAGGGGTCACCCGTGAGCGTCGTTAAACCCTTAATCGGCTCCGCTTTATCGCGAATTTGTGACCCGACGCGAGGCGATTTCCCAGCTTTCAACGCCTCGCACACCTTCACCGCGGTTTGCGGGGTGAGGTCTTCGTAATAGTTGTACGAGTACCCTTCGACGCCGTTTCTGTAATCCGCCACGGCGATCATCGGCGCGTTGACGCAACACCCCATGCACTCCATCTCTCCCAGGGTAAACGTCCCACACGCCGTGGTTTCAAACTTTTTCACCCCCATCCACTCCTCCAACGCCTTTTCAATCTCTCGGCTCCCTCGCAACATGCACGGCGTCGTCCCGCACACCATGACGTGCAGCTTGCCCATCTTTTGTCGATTAAACATCGAGTAAAACGTCGCCACCTCGTACACGCGAATCGGCGCCACCTCGAGCACATCCGCGATGTGATTCATCATCGCCAACGTCAGGTGTCCTTTATTTTGCTGCTGCGCCAAATCCAACAACGGAATCATCGCGCTTCGCTTATAATTCGACGGGTACCGCCGCAAGATCGCATCCACTTTCGGTCTCACCGACGCCTCGAACGTCCACGTCATCGTCGAGTTATCCTCCGGGACGTCTCGATGCACCATCTGTCCCACCGAGTACGCGCGCGCGCGCGTTCGCGCCGTCGCCACCGCGCGAGCGTCGTTAGGTTTCGTCATCGTCCGCGCGCACGTCGCGCGCATCGACGCGCCGTCGAGGGCGACGCGCGCGGTGGCGTCGACGGCGCGCGCGAGGGCGCGGGCGAGCGCGCGCGCGCGGGGCATCGCGCCCGTCGCGGGCGCGCGGGACGGCGACGATCGCGATCGCGGGCGCGATCTCCCGCCCGTGGTCGCGGTCACGCGTACTGCACGTCGTCGAACCCCATTCGAGGGACACGCGTGGGTCGTACACGTACTTAAGATCGTCGAACCCCATTCGAGGGACACGCGTGGGTCGTACACGTACTTAAGATCGTCGAACCCCATGTGCGGCGCACGCGTGGGTCGTACACGTACTTCACGTCGTCGAACCCCATTCGAGGGACACGCGTGGGTCGTACACGTACTTCACGTCGTCGAACCCCATGTGCGGCGCACGCGTGGGTCGTACACGTACTGAAGATCGTCGAACCCCATGTGCGGCGCACGCGTGGGTCGTACACGTACTTCACGTCGTCGAACCGCATTCGAGGGACAGCACTGGTGCCCGCGCGCGTGGTGCCGTGTACGAGGCAGCGTGATGGGGTTCGACGTGGCGCAATACGTGGTCACCCCCGCGACGCCGCGGTGGGCGCGGCCGGGACGGGACGCGCGCGCGTATGCAACGTGACGTGTACAACGGTGCGTGACGTACAAAGCGTGCGCTCGACGCGCGATCAGAGCACCGTGCGCGTGGGCTCGCCCGCGAACGGGTCGCGATCGGCGTAGACGGGTAAACGGGCGTCGCGCGTCCACGCCCACGCGCGGGCGACGACGACGACGAGAATGGGCACGAGCACGCGCGCGACCTGCGCCTCGGCCGCGTTTGGGAAAATCTTTGCGATGAGCAAAAATGCGCACGCGCCCAGGCACACGGTGGAGGCGTAGAGCTCTTGCTCGGCGTGCATGATGCGCACGGGTTGCGCGCACGCGACGTCTCGCAAGACGCCGCCGAAATTCGACGTCACGAGCGCGCTCAGGACACCGACGAGCGCGCCGTGACCCCTGGCCAACGCGGCGTTCGCCCCGACGACGACGAAACACCCCAACGCGATCGCATCCGTCGCGTTGAGCATCAAATACATCTCTCTCGATTGCCGAATCTTCCGCGACACGCGCGGCCAGAGATAAAACGTGCACGCGCTCGCGACAACCGCCAGCGCCAAATACTCGGGCTCTCGCACCCAAAATACCGGCACATCACCGAACAAGACCTGTCTGATCGTCCCCCCCCCCACGGCGGTCAATAAGCCCACCAAGACGCATCCCATGAGATCCATCCCGCGCGTCCCCGCGGTGATCGTCCCGGCGTGCGCGTACATCGCCGTGCCGAACATGTTCACGAATTTCAACACCCCCGGTATCGTCATCGGCGCGTACACCGCGTTCAACGGCATCGCCCCGATCGTATCGTTCACCATCTTATCCGCCAGATCCAGTCCCGGGACGACGTTGTACGCGAACGCCATGGCGAGGTAACACGCGCCGCAGTACCCGACCGCGACGCCGAGCAGACGTTTCCCATCGATCCCTTCGCTCGCGCGCGCGGCGGGGGGCGGCCACACGCCCGGGGATCGCGCGCGCCCGCCCGCGGCGTCGCTCGCGGTCGATCGCGCGCGCACGGCGACGCGCGGCGAGGCGTCGAGAGTGATGCGCGACGCCCCACGGCGCTCGACGCCGCGTCGACGCGCGCGCGCCCCTTGACGCGGACGCGCGTCGGACAGCGGACGCGACGCGACGCGCGCGGCGGCGGCGCGCATGACGCGCGCGTCGACGAGTGCGGGACGGCGGTGGGGGGCGGCGGGCGACGAGCGACGGCGCGAGGCGGCGTCGACGCGCGAGACGGGCGACGAAGCGACTCGTCGTCGACGCGCGAGACGGGCGCGCGTGCGAACGATGGTTGATGTTTTTGATTAATTCTTCGTCGTCCCGAGGGTCGTGTGAGGTGTTCGCGCGACGCCTCGCGCGGGGACGAGGTCGAGCGAGGCGACTCAGGCGTTGGTGAGCGCGATGACGCCGCACGCCAAGCGCTGCGAATCGTACGGAAGCGCGTCGTCGCGTCGTCAGTCTATTTTGAACGCGTCGCGCACGCGCGTGTGCGGGGATCGATCGAATCGTCGTCGCGAACGCGCGTCGTCGAACACGCACCGCGCCGGCGTTACCCGTCGTCTTGGACGTCTTGCCCTGGGTGCCGATCTCCGACGAGTCTCCCTTGCCGAGGTCATCCTCGAGCTCGTGAATCACGAACGCGCGACCGATGATGGAGTTCGCCCCCGAGAGCGGAATCTGCGAGTCTTCAATCGTAAAATCGCACCCCGTGGCGCTCGCGTCGACGTTTCCGAGATCGCCCGCGTGTCGCACCGCATCCGTCGGCGCGCCGTGATCCATCTTGTTCGGGTTAAAGTGCGGTCCCGTGGACATGCACCCGTTCGTGGTGTCACCGAACTCGTGAATGTGCAAACCGTGCTTCCCCGGGGCGAGGCCGGTGATGGAACCCACGATTTTCGTCGCGCCGTCGCCGTTTTGGCTCAACTTGAGCACGCCGCTCACGCCGGCGGTACCCGTGAGCACGCACACCGCGCGCTGCGACCGTTCCCGCGATCGAACGCGCGTCGTCAGTCACCGCGCACGACGACCGCACGACGACCCGTCCCGCGCGTCGCCCGTCGTCCCGTCCCGCGCGTCGCCCGCCGTCCCCCTCGTCCCCCCCCCACGCGCGCTCGACGCACCTTTTCCCCCGCGCTCGCCCGCGTGACGTGTCGTCCACTCGATCGCGCCCCGCGGTCGCGTCTGCGTCGCGCGCGTCGCGCCCGCGCGTCAGTCCCAGACCCCTCGATCGTCATCATCGCAATCACCATCGCGATCGTCATCGCAATCATCACCCACGCGCGCGCGTCGTCCCGCTGCGACCCATCGCGCGGTCGTCGCCGCGACGCATCCATCGCGTCGTCCATCGCGCGCACCGCGTGAGAGGTCGTCGCGCGAGACGCGACGCGGCGTCGACCGCGAACGCGCGCGATGCGATCATCCTGGCGAGGTGTGACGTCACCGCGCGTCGTCGTTTTCGTGTCGTTTTTTTCTCGGCTTTTTTTTTGTTTTCTCAATCGCGTCGCCCCCGTCGCGTCGATCGACGCGTCGACGTCGACATCGACGACATCGGTGCGCGCGACGCGTGCCCGCGCGTGACCGCGCGCGACGCGGTGACGCATCGTCGACGCATCGTCGACGCGCGCGCGCGCGCACCCGTCGTCGTGATTCGCGCGCTGTGAGACGACGGGAGATGTTCAAAACGAGTCCGTCATCGTCGCGTTCGAGCGTCGTCGTCGCGGCGCGGTGGTGACGTCGTCCGTGTCGCTGCACATCGCGCACCGCTGAAGCGTCGGGGCGCGCGCGAACGCGCGCGACGTGCGCGCGCGCGGTGACGGATCGCGTGGGATCCGCCGCCGGGGCGCGGTGACGGGATGTATTTTTATATGTGACGGTTCATGACTCGTCAGTCGCAGGGGTGATGGCGATCGATCCATCGATCGATTGGCGTGGAAGGGCGCGCGAGGGGGGTTCCGTCGGCGTCGGCGCGGACGTATCGTATTGAACGTCTCATGAAGCCTATGTGTAAACCCCAGGTGGGGGCCCGGTGGGGGCAACACCCTCGGCGGCGCGCGCGCCGTCGCGAGGCGCGCCGTCGCGGCCGTCGCACGCGCGCGCTCGGGAACGATGCGGATGAAAACGATCGCGCTCGCGGCGATGCTCGCGCTCGCGCGCGCGGGGGGGG